ATTGTAAGTCCCGATAACATAACGCAAGATGGAATAAATGCACTAATTCTGTTCCATAGTAGTGCCCGCTACCTTCCCATCTTCAATTTTTTTAGGCCATCGACTTGATTTTGTTTTATTTACCGATATGTATCCTGTTCTCCCATAATTACTTCCCCTTAATAAGAATATGCCATTTGTAATAAAGATTAGTAACGGAATATATTTGCTATGTTTTATTAAAACAACTAAACCATGTGTAATCTGATTATCTCATGACAGTATACTTTGTGTCGTTAATGGTTAGTATTAGAAAATTGTAATTCTGAAACTTCAATTAATTGAGAATGTTTGAATTCACAAAATACTATCTCTTGTGCAACAGTGATTAAATAATATTATTAAAACACCAGGTAAGCAATGTTGATAAAATGAAGAACAAAATGAAGCACCTTTCGAAATTTTATCTTTTTGTATTTACAGGTCATACATAGGAAACAACGTATAAAGGATGTCATAGACAACATTAAAAATAGAAAGGCAAAGAAGAAAAAACAGCCCCAACTACTAGTTCGCTGCTCCAAGAAATGGAACAAAAGGTTGGACACTACCTTTCACCAGGCGCATACCTTGATAACCTTGACCCCTGGATGACATTGACCTTGAACATAGAATTTTCTAATAAAAACTTTAACATTGGCGTTAACTTCCTCATTAGTAAACATGTTTACTTCATATTTGGACATAACATTCCTTTGGACATTACCTTTATCAGGCGCATTCCTTGATGACCTTGAAAACTCCTGGATGACATTGACCTTGAACATAGAATTTTCAAAAAACTTTAATATTGACCCATAACTTCCTTGTTAGTGAACATGTTTACTTCATATTTGAACACAACATTCCTTAGGACATGACCTTCCTGCAGGTACACATGACTTTGACCCCAGGATGACCTTGACCTTGAACATAGAATTTTCTAAAACCTTTAACATTGTCAAAGCGCGCTTCATCTTACAGTGGCAGTTCTTACTGTGATATGTAATTGTACCTGGTGATTTTTAAACACTAATCTTTTTCTACTTCAATTGTTTATTGCTAAATTAAATCAATATTATAATAAATACTGATTTTTTTCTAATTCAATTGTTTATTGTTAAATAAAAGTTCTTTTTTAAATCAATATTATAATAAATACTAACATTTTTAAAAAGATATTGTCATGTTGTGCTTTTAGTACACAATTGTGTTAATCGTCCTTGATTTTACATCCTGTAATTTATAGCTCGACTATTCGAAGAATAAGGAGAGCTTTCACCTCATCCGGGCGTCGGCGTTAGTTTAATGTTCTGTCCAATTTTTCATACAACATCAATTATGTTCCAAGTCCAAATTTTTCAGACTTGTTAACCACCATGACCCCAACCCCTAGACATGGGTATATAACTCTGTCAAGCATTTTGTTAAAATTGACTGCCTTGTCGACTAAGATGGTTTTCATTTTACTACCAAGAACTAAGAATAGTCGAGTGTCGAGTGTGCTGCCCATGACGCTCTTATTGTAGTTTTCAATTCGCGTGAGCTTAAGTAGAAGCTTTGCTGAGAATGATATTGTTGTCATCTAGAGGAAAATATAACAAAAAGAACCATCTTCCGTGTGCTGGTGTCTCGTATCCAAAGTTGTGCTATTTCAATCTTAAATTTGCTAGAGTAAAATAGGACTGGTGGAATAGGAACAAAAAATCTTAGTTTTGTTGCACGACCTTGCCCTACATTGGCGCTTTATACTAGGGCTAGAAAAAGTCTAGTTGTTTAATCCATTTTGAGGGATTATTGCGAAACGGTTGTAACTAGATAGAGAAGGAGATACAACTGTTTTGCACCAATCCCTCGAATTATATTTTTAGTTGCATTTTATGATACACGTACAGCTGCATGGCGGTTGAATATCTGTTCCTTTGCCAATCCCCAAACCATATATTAATTCCATGCATTTGTAATAGAGGTCGATACGTAAAAAGTCAAGACCACAAGTGTTTGAAGTCACTACTCACAAGTAGCAAGTCAAAAGTCACAAGTAGGAAGTCACAAGTAAGAAGTCAAGTCACACATAGGAAGTCTCTAGTCAGAAATACGAAGTCACAAGTCAGACCATTGTGCACGAAGTGTCATTGCAATATCGTTTAAAACGTCCTTAACTTTACAAATGCGTCATCCTGGAAATTCTTGAAAGCTGACCTTACCACGGATAACTACCTATTCGCCCTAATAAGAGTCAATGCTTCTATAAGCGCCCATCCCTTCTTTTCCATTTGTAAGTGGTTAAGCGCCCAGAATAAATTGTCTTAAAAGAAAAAAAAAAAACTGACCACAATCGACATTTTTAAATTTTTATGCATGTCTGCGGGCCTAGAAAATTTCACTGTTCAAGGAAAGACTGTGAATATTCACATTTTAAACCCATTGTAGTGATTTGTCAGTAAACGGGACCACTTTAAATACGAGATATCAACAGAATTTGCATAGCTGTGACTCTTACATATTGTATACTTTTGTAAGACCTGACTCCTAATAAGCACCCACCTTTCACAATTTTCTAAGCGCCCTGGGGCGATTACTAGGAAGAATACGGCAGTACTGGCTAGATATCCTGTGTAAGTTTCGTACTAGGCGTTTGGTCTACAAAGATGAACGTAAGGCAGTGAATTTATTTTAATAGCCAGATTCTAATTAACTGAAAGTTAAGTATATAGGCCCTAGTAAGTCTGCACACCTGCACAGACTAATTCAGTCTACACTTGTCACAGGTCCGTAGTTTTTCTTGACTGAAACGTTAACGGTTACAAACAGACCTTTGTGAGCCATGATGTATTTGAACGTAGAAAATAACATTTGACTTTCGTGACATATTCGTTTGTTATAGTTGACTGTCAAACATAAGAATAAACATATGCCACTTACGTTATGAACTATAAAATATATTATACTATAGTTTACAATATCATCACGATCATCATCCTTAATATAGTTATCATCATCGTCATGATTATAATCATTATCATCAAAATCAACTTCTGCTTATCATCAACAAACATAATTATTTTTAAATTATAAAGTCGACCTTCATCATGAGGAGCATCATCATGACAATCATCATTGCAGTCAACAAAACTAATAATGATAATCATGATGATGTGTAGATGATGATGATGATAAAGATGAATCGTGTTGATCATTTATTTCTCTCACAAAACAAACTTTATGGCTACAAAAAGACTTCAGTCTTCATACGAGTTTGCCACTAAATCATTCAATTACAGGAACAAATTCAATGCTGAAGATCGGCATCTACTGGCATTGGAGGTCTGGCTTTTAACAGATATGCCAATTCGCTGAATTCGTCAAGCTTTCTCTTTGGGAACTGAATACATGTCTTTACAACAAGTCACATCACGTTTGTCAACCACCGTACCATAATCAAGCGCGCCAAACGTTTCAGGTAAAAAATACATAATGTCAGGTTTTCCGTAATGTGCGTCGGAATTGTGCTGAGGTCTAATTTCATGTACATTCCACTGTTTGAGCAATTCTATCCAGGTGTGTTTTGTATTAGGTTCATAAAACAAATTTTCAAATTTTCACAATGTATCTGGTCGAGTTTATTGAAACGACCAGAATCGCGGAAATCCTTAAAAAAAGTTAATCCACCACTGTATTCCTTGTTGACGTAGCGTACCCCACCATCTTTCAATGTGCTGGTTAGAAGTGCTTCTTCCAACAATAACGCTGCGACTTCCAGCAAAGTGGTCGCTTGCTGCATTCCGAAAGAACTGCTGTAGAAGACAAACAACACTGTTTTCTGTTCCAGCATCGCAACGAAGTATGCGAGGTGTTTTTTCAATGCGCTTCAATGCATCCAAAAAATATATCGCAATCAGTTTTGGATCGTTGTTAGTGTCAGAAACTTCTAACCAGATAACTTTCCTGCTAAAACCATCTACCGCTCCGTGTATACAAAATCCGAATGGTTTCAACTTATCATAACCATCTAAATGCCAAATATTGTTTGGCCCTTTTGCATAATAGAAACGTCTTTTTAGTCGACGTGCTTTTCTCATTTCAACACCATTTGGATCTATTGCCTTCATTATGTCCATAACAGCTTTATGGTTTACATCCATATTATGATTCACTTTCAGCCGGCGCCATATCGTCCGATAACCGACAGACTGTCCACTATAATGCATTTCCGTGCCAATTACACGAACAACGTTTTTCAACTGCAATTGCAAATGTACACCTCGACGTTTCATGTTCAACTGACGCAGTGACAACAAAATACCATACTTAAGTAGCAAAATCCAAGAATTTCACTGGGTTTAAAACCTTGTTTGAAATATTCTTCAATGAGTGATGCTTTATCAACATTCGGAGACGACAAAGGCAGGTAAGGTGGCACCACACCAGCTGTTGTCTTCAACAGAGTGCACAGAAAACAACACGCACAACACAGCCATTTTCGCTCATTACTCACGTGCTCTCTTAAAGTGTGATTTAATTAATTAATTTCACAACTAAGAAGTAATAAGTTTTGAGTTAAAAGTCAAAACTCCCAAGTCAAAAGTCATAACTCCCAAGTCAAAAGTCATTAAGTCAGAAGTCAAAAAGGGCCCTCCAGTGCTTCCATAGTATACAGACAATCAATTTGTTTTTTCGATAATTTTTTAAAAACAGTTTATAAAGACAGTGCGATATTTTCCATTTTACTGTATCCGAATGAACTTATCTTTCATCACCTTTACCTAACAGTCACAAATTTTATTTTGAGTATATTACCAGTTTAATTCATTTTTACTGTGTAGTAAACTTATATATTTAGACAATGTGACAAATAGTATCATAATTTTTGTAATTGGTATATACAAAACATTTATAAGCTCTGTAGCTTTCTTTTCAATTTTTGTCATCGTTGTTACAAATAAGCTATGTTTAAACTAATTGAAATAAGATTTTTCCAGTCGACAGAGCACATGACATTGTCTTGTCCATGGGTTTGACGGAATCGAGTCTTGCAGTATATGACTACATTCCTTATATGTACAGTACATATCCATTTACATTCAGATGTGGCACTACTGCCAGGTTTGTCCAGCTACAGATCAATGCAAGCTATGGTGATCACTTCCATTTGTGCGAGGTTCAAGTTTTTGGTATATCAGGTACATATATATTTATTATGTACAAGAAAATCAAACAAGAAAAAAACGTATTTTTAAGAAAAATAAAAAAGATTCATGATTCACGTAATAACTTACATTATAATATGTGAGATTAATGACTGATTTTACTAAATTTATCACCATATTTTTATTGCGTGACTAACGCAGTAAATAAGGTCCATTTTTACATATTTTGGCCTCGTTTTGGTAATTTACGTGGATTGTAATCGCCATTTGTAATGTGAAAATCCCTTTCTTTGGTCACTTTACAATATTTTACTTTTAAGTACATTTTCAGAATTTTCATAAAAAATAAGCATAAATATGGAGGCATGCTGCTTTAAAAAATAGTGGTTGATGTGTTTACAATATGTTTATATTTATTACATATCAAAATTGCGTTATGCGAATAAAATCTGTTCATGTGATTGAATGTTCCTATCATATATAACATCTTATAATGTTTAGCTTTGACTTATTTGGAAAATCATTAGAAGTTTCTGATACTATATCAACTAAGAATGTTTTAATACACCAATTACCAATAAAGTTTATGTCATCAGAGATATAAACAAGTGAACTATCAACAGAATATGGTAAAGTTTGATCTAATCTACATAGTGGCCCTATGTACAGCAATAACCACTTTACAACAACAGTTTCAATTCTTCCCTACAGTAAGACTTCACAATAAATTCAACATCTCTAGAGCAACACCCATCAGGAGCTAAAAAAAGTATTTGTCTTTCAAAGGATCTTGCTTTACAGAGGTTGTCCTGTATTTATCACACGATATAAGATGAAATGAAAACTTTTTTTATTTATTTCTGATAATCATGTTGCTGTTAATGTGTGGGTATTTCTTAGTTGACTGTTTTAATTCAAGTCTTTTTTCTCTTTTTGACAGACTGTGGAAGTTTGACAAACCCTTTAAACGGTCTGGTTCACACAAATGAAACCACGCTCAATAACGATGCAGTATACAATTGCAATACGGGTTTTATCCTTACCGGAAGCGTTCCAAGAACGTGCCAGACAGATGGGATATGGTCTGGAAATGCTCCTACTTGTGAACCAGTAAATTGTAGTGATCTGGTATCTCCTGCAAACGGTTCCGTGACATTGTCAGGCTTAACATATATGAATACAGCTAGGTACAATTGTTCTATAGGATTTGTTTTAACTGGGTCATCAACACGGACCTGCATGTCTGATGGAAATTGGGACAATTCTCCCCCATCTTGCATTATAGTTGATTGCGGTCCAATTTCCAACCCAGAAAACGGAAGCGTTTTAGTGCCGAGTTCAACGTTTGCAAGTGTAGCAACTTACACTTGTTTGAACGGATACTTTTTAACAGGTTCCGCTACACGACTCTGTACTTCAGATGGTTATTGGAACGGCTCAGCTCCGTCTTGCACTTACATTGCCTGTGGTGTTTTGCTGAATCCCTCAAACGGATCAGTTTCCATTTCAAGTTATGGGTTTATGGGAACAGCGACATATAGTTGTTTAACTGGATTCAACTTGTCAGGAAGCATCGAAAGAACATGTCTTTCTGATGGAAACTGGAATGCGTCCGAACCATCTTGTTATATCATTGACTGTGGCATTTTACAAGATCCTTCAAACGGAAGCGTCACATTATCTGGTTCAACATTTTTGAGCACTGCGTCATATAGTTTTGTTCTTACAGGGATTCAACCTGTTCTGGGTCCAGTTCGAAAGAACATGTTCTTTCTTGATGGAAATTGGAAATGGTTCTGTCCCATTGTGCGGTTGTGGTTAACTGTGGTGGCTTCTGTCGACCCTGCAAACGGTATTGTATCAGTTTCAGGCTTTACGTATTTGAGTACAGCGACATACAGTTGTTTTGTTGGATATAATTTGACAGTATCGGAAACTAGGGTTTGTATGTCAGATGGGAACTGGAATGGTTCAGCTCCCTTTTGTTTATCTTCTTTATCAGTTACAACAAGCACTACCACGCCAAGTCCAACTGTACCGCCATCGAATTTGTCAAGAATTTATATTATGGCATGCATTTGTTACCCTAACAAAACATTTATCGGGCTGACACAAAAAGAAATTATCCAACATCTAATTGAAGACACAAAAATAGACACTAAAAACACATCGCGTTCAAAATCAAAGCTTGTGTGTAGAGATGATTCGAGACAGTCGTCAATGATAATGGGGTCAGTCGGAGCAAGTGTTTTGAGCACTGCGTTAGGGGTTATCATTTGTTCAGATTTGATTACATTGTTGTTTAAACTGAAAAAAGTGAAAATTGCGTCGAACAAGGTAAAAGCCAAAACTTGACAACAAACATTTGGCATGTATTCATGAAATTATGCATCAGCAAGTAAAAACTGTGCATAATTTTGTCAGTGTGATTGTAATCATAGAACATACAATTCATGATCCAGATAGACGTAAGACTGTAAAACGTCCTCTCTTACATTTTTCTGACTTTTTGTTTTCCTTGTAAAACTTGATGTCTTTTGGGAGTATTTGCATATTTATTGTTTTAATTTTTAAATATTCTTTCATATTAATTAAAAATAATAATTTTCATGTTTGCAGTACTTAGATCCATTATTTTAATGAGTGAATATATATTTACTGTAATATGACATCTTAATGATTTACAAATTAATATACATAAATGTAGCGTAAAAGAAATAAGAAGTATCTTTAAAAAGATACTCGGCCGAGTATACCTGTTTTTACGCGCATGGGTTATATCGGCGTTTTTAATACATTAAGAAATGTTAGCTCAGCGTGAAATTAATAATGACAGTCATCATGTGTACAAATAATACTTTGGTCACAATTGACATAACATTTATTGGTATATTAGTTTCAGAAAGATCCTTTAGATTAATTTTACTAATTTATGAATGGCCAATGAGATTCCTTTATTTCAGTTTATAATTTTAAAATGACCAATGAACTATCGTAAAGTGACAACTGTATTATCCGTCCACTCCTGCTGGAAGTCTCTTATCCGTGTCATTTCCTCGTATCAGATTAAAATCTATTTGTACTTAAGAAAGTTGTAGATCAAGTAGCTGAAAGAGAAAAATAGAATGGTTGAAATGAAAATAGCGAGTAGCGGTCTAACAATTAAATGCTTCGTTGATATAAACAAATAAACATGATAAAATTCCTCTGCAATTTTAACTGGAATGTATGGCCTAATTAAGCCCTAATTCCGACTACATTGTGAAATATTATGCAGCAAAAATGTCAAAAAAGTTTTATATGTTTTTTATATGTTTAACAGATTAAAAGACAAACTCTGTGTTCTTAGTCTACGGATTTGATTTGTTAACCATTTGTTTGCTGGGAAAATTGTCGTCGGCTAAAAATCTCGTCTGCATATTTTTTCAACGTTATCCAATTTTCTCAAATTTAAGAAATAAAAGGGGCGTCCGTGGCCCAGTGGTTAAGGTCGTTGACTTCAAACCACTTGCCCCTCACCGCTTTGGGTTCGAATCCCGACAGGGACTTGGATTCTTTCATGTGAGGAAGCTATCCAGCTAGCTTACGGAACGTCGGTGGTTCTACTCAGGTGCCCGTTCGTGCCTGAAATAATGCACGGAGGGGCACCTGAGGTCTTCCTCCACCAGTATAGCTGTCCCAGAACGTCGCGATATGACCTATACTGTGTCGATGTGACGTAAAACCCAATCAAATCAAATAAGAAATAAAACAGCTTTACGACTAACAAGATGTACCCGTTGTCTCATCAGGTACCAAGCAGCTTACAAATGTTACTGTAACAGTCTCCGCATGCTAATGCTTAAAATTGGTTTCAGTCATATACTGCCAAGTCAGTTCCCAAACAAGTGTTTCTTAATTCTGTACCAGTTTTGTAAACTTTTTTCAATAGCTTGCAGCAAATGACGGCAAGCTGTCTTCAACAGATTCAGCGTTGGAAGATGGATGGCGCTAGACTTTTTTTTCTTTTCTCATCATGGAACAAACATGCCGTTGATTCAGACTCGCAGTTGCGAGGATCATGAATTTATAATTCTCCGTAATTACTTACTTGATGGGATCGATTTCCTCCGATTGAACAAAATTTAAACTAACGAAATTTACATTAAAAACTGATAATATGGCTTTTAATGAGTGTCTTAAAGAACCAAGGATTTACATAGCTGTCATTCCACATTTATTCTACCAGCGTTGTTTTACCACATGCACTTCACTAAATTATTCGATGTCATTTGACTTTATGTCATCCTATCAATCATAATTATATTTCTGCCCCTTTCACAAACTTAATGAGCACACACCCATTTTCAAAACTGCTCTATTCCTAGATTTTTATTGAATTTAACAAGGTAATCTATAGACAAATTATATTTCAAGAAGTAGAATAGAAATTTTTAATTTGCTGCAATACATGCATGTATGTATGTTTGTATGTAGATATATAAATAATTCACTTGCAAAGTTCATTCGGACATTTAATAGGACATTTTCACGAACAACCCGCCCCTAACACCATCTCCTGATTTATTATATGTTAAGAATACTTTTATATTTGAGAATATGTTAGATGTCTTGTCAAATTAACGCGTAGACGTACGCTATTGTGAGTATAAACCAATCAAGCTCACAGAAATCAAGAACCATAAAATGATAAAAAAAAACAATATCTAATCGGTTTTAGTTCCCTTGACTGCTAAAAAAATCACACAAAAATCATAGCAAAAATCATATGACAAAATGTATTTACAACATTATACGATTATTTCATTAAATCATTTATTACCGAATAAATTCATAAATGAAGCGACATCCCTGTCTTATCATTTATAATATTATAATTTATAGTGATAATTAAGGACTATGTGATTTAAACACATAACTTATGAAGACCGCTTGTCTGTCTAGTCGGAAGTTGCTTAATGAAATGTAAATGTTTTAGATCACAACTCTTTGAATGGTTGTCTTGAAATCATGTGAAGAAAGTAGCGAAACCAGTTGAAATTAGAGAAGGCCTATCTATGGAATCGATTTTGAAAGTGATCCGTTAAAATTGTCTTTCAGTGTAGAATAAATGCATACATTGCAGTATATTTATTTAAGAAATACTATTGGTCTGAGCGGTGTTTATCAGCTATTTAACACCCTTTGGAGTTTTAATGTGAATGCCTCGATCACGTAGGTCGAAAGCCTTTTTACTTTTGAAAGGAGAAACAGGGCCTTAAACGGTGGTTGTGGAATTTTGATATAAACTTAAGATACAAGTTTCTTATAGAAACCGAATGGACACAGAATCCCATTATATTGAATCTGTTTGGTTACAGGTTAAATTTTCAAACAATAAATATGTATTGTTAAATTTCTTATACAGGCCACCTAACAGTAACCAGTCGTGTATTGATTTTTTGAGTAGCAATTAATATTTTACTGCAGAATTGCATAATCTATATATGTAACTGGAGATATGAACATTAACTACTCACAATAATAGCAAATGGGCCCATGTTGTTAAAGAGTTTGGTCTCAAGCAATAAATCTAATATTCTACTAGAGTAACTAAAGACTCCAATTTAAGTTAAAGCGATCAGCAATAATTGGCGTTTACAAAAGGGAGGCAAGTGCTTATATTCGTATAAAACGATCGATTATTATAAGAATTTAAATAAACAATTACCTAAAAATGATATGAATGATATCAATTTTGATATAATTAATTCAGACTATTACAGAGCAAAATAACTCGCTTGATGTTCCATATAGGTATGATTAAAACATTATTTGACAAAAATAACACGTACGTATCGACCAGACTGGTACTCTGGCGAAATTCAGAGGCCCGCAATGAAAGGGATCACTTAATTAAGCATTGTAAAGAGTGGTTTACTTTAACCGTAAGTTGTGGAGAAATAAATGCCATGATGTGATAAAAAAGATAGTGAGATGCAATTGAAAATTCAAGGGAAATATTATACTATTGGCAAACTTTAAAAAAAAAACATATATAATGAGAAAATGTGACAGTCTTCTTTACAAATCACTATAAACATTAAAGATTCAGGTTTAAATCATAAATATGATGCTCAAATGAACATTTATCAATATTGTAAGTTCCAAAAAGCATTATTTGTAAAGGTATTACCAAATTTACATTTCATGTTAATAAAGGGTTGTAATTAGAAATTTATTTTCTATAAAGTCCGAGTCAAATTTTCCAATAAGAAATGAGCACAGGAGCAATAACAGCATCCTTTAATTTACAAGAAGGCATTTACCAGAATAATGAACTAAATAGTAATGTATATGTATGCATGTTAGATACTAAACAGGCTTTTGATACGGTTTGGTTAGATGGTGTTTTCTACAAAATGTCAAAATTAGGTATAACTGGTAAAATTTGGACACTTCTAGTTGACGCACACACAAATATGTCTAGTTGTGTCGCTGCTAATGGCCTTCAATCTACGTTCTTCCCAGTAAGACAATGCATTAGACAAGGAGGGACGATCTCTACTTGGATATATAAATTGTTTATAGATGATTTGATAAACGAATTAGAAAATAGTGAATTAGGATTAAACATTCTACATCTTTCTGTAGGGGCGACAACTCTTGCAGATGATATAGCCCTATCAGCAACTAACCCCACCGGCCTTCAAGAAATGCTTGATATTACACATAAATATACATGTAAATAAAGGTACAACATAAACCCACTGAAAAGTAACATTATAGTATTTGGTAAAAGACGAAAAACACCACAGGTTCAACTATTAATAGGAGGTTGTCCTATTGATCAGGTTTATAGTGTTAAACATAAATGACAAACTAAATGACACAGACAAGGTCGAGCGTGCATGCGAAAAAAACAAAAACATCCCTTTTTTCTCTATTATCACTTAAAATAGACCCGGTCCACGTAAATCCAATCAAATCGGCTTCGCTTATTTCAAAAATTTGTATACCTAGATTATTGTATGGTTGTGAATTCATGTCTAACCTTAAGAAAACTGACTATAAACGACTTGATAGATTTGTTAGACTAGCTGCAAAAAAGATACAAGGGTTCTCTGTGCTAACACGAACGGATATGTGTCTTAGTATGTTAGGCTGGAAAAATATTGAATCTGAAATAGAGCTTAGAAAACTAGGGTTTTTAAGACAATTATGTGACATGCCAAACACTGTTTTAGCAAAACATGTGTTCAATGTGAGATTATCAATTTATGTATGTACACTCTGGAACACTCTGCTATGATATCATAAAACATGTTGTTGTAACTTGTAATAGAATGGACATTTTTCGCGAAGAATTGTTTAAAACTTTGTATAATTTATTTGGCAAAGATGTTGTTTCAGAAATATTATTAAGTGATAGCGAAACGAAGTTTCAAAAACTTATAGGCAGACGCCTGTTATCATTACAAAACAGGAATGTTCATAAACATTTTTAATTATTTGGGTCGTCAGTAATGGTCGTCAATAATGGTAGTGAAATTTCAGACTCTAATGCTGTTAATTGCAAATGCCGAAAGTAGTCCGCTTTTTTGAAGCGGTTACTTCCCTTTATATGTATACTAACGCCGAAAAATTCAGGGGAGATCACTGCGTAAAGATAGTCAAATGACAGGCGCATTAATTTTCAAGCAAAATGATTCCCGAATGGTCGAAGATTTCTAATATTGTTTTATTCTTCATAGATATACATGCTTATAGTAAGCTCAATGATTATTTACATCTGTGTTAAACAATAGTTAGCGTCGTTACAAACCCATATTTAGAATAATTTGGTTTTCTCCAGGCCGTTTACATATAAATTCACCATGGCCGAGGGGTTTGCGCGTTTGCTGAGGAAGCGAGAGGTCTGGAGTTCAAAACCCAGTTGAGGCAACTCTTTTTTTCCAAATTTTTTAAGTCAAATAAACATTGGATTGAATATCAGTGTTGCAATTAGTCTTATAGCCAATTTACTATAAAAACGCTGGAAAGCATTGGTGGCACTAAACAAAAACAAATTGGTTTATAATCTCACAACCTTCACCTTTCTGACATTCTGAGACCCAAACAAATTCAGCACCTTATGTGCTTTGATTTAAGAATAGCAATCGCATATGTTTACTATTGCATTAAAAATGCACGATGTATACAAATCTCGCAGAGACGATGATTTTGCTTTAAAAGTACCATGTTAAATATGCGTTGTCATAATTATGTTTTTTTAGAAATGAAATACGACACTGGCATCAGTGATAGCTGTATAAGCATCTTAAGTATATCACATGAAAAAATAATGAAAATGTAAATACTCATGTACTCATATAATCTATATCTATTACATGTTAGTACCACTTCTTTTCTTTTAATTATGAATGTATTATATGGTCCCAAAGTAATAAATCAGACATAAATAGAATAACGAAATTACAAAAAAAAAACAATAATTAAAAAAAACAACAACAAAAAACAGCCAGAATTATTTTAAAGAACCACATAGTTTTAAAAATATGTTTAAAAATATAAAAAATTTATATTTTCAATCTAGGTGTAATTACTTTTGTTTACTTATGGTGTATAAATCGCTGAACAAATTAACACCAGCATATATATCTCTGATTCCGTTATCTCAAAATAAAATGATCACAGAAAATAAGACATATAGTACACAAACGGTCAATAAACAAATTATTTAAAACATACTTTTTATTATTTTGGTATGGAGACTATTATAGAACACAATTCTTTTAGAAATAAGTATTTCTACCAGTCTGGAATTGTTTAAATCTCATATTAAACATTTCTTATTATATAAAATAAAAACCAACAATATTTAACATGTATTACATTTATAATATGATTTATAAAATGACATGTTATGATCTTTATAACTACTGGTTGAAAACAAGGTTTTACATGATATGTGTTTTCTTTGATGCTTTGGTACAGCTACCATCGTTAGTTATTATGCACTGAAAAAATCAATGAAAATATTTAGTAGCTTCTTACCTAACTGAGCTCTTTAATTGAAAACAAAATTTGGTCCAATGAATTAGATTTCCCAGCATTCCTCATTCTCAAAGTGAAAACATTTGGTAAGGGTGAAATTGCGTTCTGAACTTACTATCTCTCTGTCAAAATTTAGATAAGTGAACTCTCTTATTTGAAAGAGTTAACTTTCTTCTTTCTAAATTAATCTCAAATAATTAATTTTTAATCCGATTTTTTACAGATAAATACATTTCAACAGGCAGCCCAAAATGATGAAGTGACGTCATGAACGTAAATACAAATCTCAGACCATAGATATTCTTTCCATTCCACACTTAAAACTTGACTTATAAGAATGGACAGCGAAGACGATATGATATATGAAGATGATGAATCTCATGAAGAGGAGGACAGTAATGATGATGATGACTTTGTGGACATAGCTATGGAGCCTGAACCATCGTCTACAAGCGAGTCAAAAGACCATGAAGACTATCCGTTTGAAGTTTTGACAGCAGACAGAATTGTTCATGTAATGGTTGAGTGTATAAAAGAAGTAAATGCGGTGGTTCAGGTATAACTATTCATATGTATTTTACTAGAAATGGTGATACAAATAAGTGTAATTTTGTAACCTGTACAACTGTTTTAGGTTTAAGATGTTTGTAATTAAGATAACATAATGTTTCTAATAATTCTCTATATTCTCAAATCATCCTATAATAACTTACACTTTTTGACACTAAGCTTAAGTGTTTGTTACTTAATAGCACTTAGATACAATTAAATATGAACCAGGGTTCTTAAGCATGTTTTAAATCGAATCCAGTACAAATTCATATGCTAACAATCTTGTCCTACTTTTTCAAACCATCGTTTTGCCTTGTTTGCAGATTCCATCAACCATAACAAGAATTTTGTTAAACCATTTTAGATGGGACAAGGAAAAGCTGATGGAAAGGTAATTTTACTTGTAACCTTGAAATAATAAGAATCCAAGTAAATTTGTTGGTGTCAGTTGCTATGTGGTTTTGGAATGAATTGTAAGGTTTATATCATGTCAGGGATGTTTAAAAAAGCAAAAAGTTTTAGCCTGCTGATGACTGTGATAAAACGCAAAAGTTGCAGCTTGGGCTTTTATCAGTAAAGACTTAAAAGTGGATAAAGAAAGCTATATCTGAGGAAATATTTTATAAAAGTGCAAAAACAGTAAAATTATGTTGTTTTCATAACCTTATGGTGATTCCTTTAAAGATTTATAGCATTGAAGTTTAAATGTCTTTGTCAAATAATATGTATGAATATTGTAAATAAATAGAAGCATTCCGCTATTAAGAAGGATTGGCTATGATTTTATGCATTTTAATAAAATATACTGACAAATTCCTTCATACTCAGAAATCATAAAAATCAAGATGAGAACAATAATTTTACAGTCTACAAACAGCAAATATAAAAAGCATAGCTTTAAACACTGTGATGTTGAAATTGTTCATTAAGTTTAATGTTACTGTTATATATTTCTTTTCATCTTAACAGAAATGATTGTTGCTGAATGACGCAAATAAGTCAAGAGTATTGTTAAAATGTGAATGTTTAATGAAGTGACTCTTTAAAAGTTTGGTTTACTCATTTATCATAGCTATTGCGAAATATATTTTAAATTTGAATTTAATTTATTCCAAGTACACATAAATATTGTAGAAGTACAGGGCTCAAGCTAGGTTCAAAATTTAGGGAGAAGTCACTTCTCCCTCCAGCTGCTTTAGGGAGAAGTGGGGAGACTTTAGGGAGAAGTGAGGAGATTCATTTATCGATGTTTGTTGTATGTTATTGCAATTACATTGACTCACTGTACTTATCTTATTAAATGAATTGGATTTGTGTTACAACAAAATATTCAATTTTAATTTAAAAGTAGTTTGAAACAAGTAATAATAAGAATGAGTATCATGTAATGCAACCATTGCATTAAATGAAGATAAAAAAGCCATAGTTGATTCCTATCATGGATCATATCATGGATGGATTAACAGTTATTACCTTCTGATTTACTATTAAAAAGCTTGCGCGGACATTATATTCATATTCACTTATGTTGTAAAGAAAATGAAAGTAGATAACGAAAGAAACGGTCTTTACTTTAACTACATTTGTAATAAATACAGTGTAATACGCCGTCAATTTTATCAAATTTAACTCGTCGACAAAAAAAGGTTATCATAACTTTCATTTAAAATTACCGTTACAGTTATATCTCGAGCGGTCCTCTTAATTCTGACAATCATTCGATAGTGAAAATTTAATTGACGTTTGATCCGTCCATCATAAATTATTGTTACTGGTATGTTAAAGATTTAATGTCGCCTCGATTGAAATGTGAATTACGATTGGTTTCTCGCACGTATCGGTAATCTCGCCGTGGGCGGAGTCTAATTGTTCCTCGAGCGTCTGTTAATTAGACTTTTATGACATGTTGGTAAACAAACGGATTAATGACATTTCGCGTTGATTGAGATGCATGACAGTCCCTTTTTCCGGCGGCGAGGGTAAACAAAGCAAACACACAACATGTTATTCACAGTTATTGTTGGTTATTTTCAATAATGGATCAATAAAATCGGGCAACTTCATCTTCGCTTTCATGTAGGATGTCGGCGAAGTCAGGCGGAATTCGGCGACTATTTCGCCCGAATCGCCCAGTAGCTCGAGCCCTGAAGTACAGATGATGATATCAATCTGGTGATTCAGATAGTACTATGGTATTTTCATACAGGTGTGAGCACTGATTTCTGCAGAAATTGGATTAAGTTGAAAATTGTCCAACCAATCAAACATTTTAGTCAGCTATGACTGTTTTAGAGGGGACTTAAACAGAAGTCACTACTTATCAAATACTCCATTCTGATTGGCTCAAGGGCTGTTTTTAATTATTACTATATTGATGTCTCATCGATTTTCAACACTCCATCAAACATTGATTTCAATTTAGCATATTTATACAATTTAAAATCAATTTTTTCCCAGTCTTGTGAAAACATCTCTGTATTTTGTTGGAATTTGGAAATCGTCTGTCTACCATTTAACTAGCATGAAAGTTAGATATAATTTTCCTATGTTAATCAGAAGTATTAACAAAAAATACTCTCTTTCTGTATTGTTGTGATCTCCTTGTCCAGTATGTTACTTAACTATAAGCTGATTATTAAAATCATTTAATTTATGTCTCTTGCTTTTGCTGCTAATGTTGCTAAAGCCATAACATATTAATTTTATATATATGAATTTTATTTTTCTTGTTTAAAGGTACTATGATGGTGATCAGGACAGCTTGTTTTCTGAGGCCCATGTTGTAAGTCCATACAGAAAAGATGCCTCAAGACAGGCTAAGGTATTGATTAGCTATCTTTAAAAAGTAATGTTGAACGATTGTTTTGAATAGCTAGTAGTACTGCATTGTAAAAAAAATGAAGTATTTTTACATTGCCAACATTAATGAATTTGTACTTTAATTCATGTTTCCTTGTTATAACGATTGTAAGGAAAACTACATGTAAATGCTAATGTTAACATTTTAAGATTTGATACCATATCATGTAATATAATATTATTTGGCATTTAACTGTCAACATGCACATAGCTACAGAATCTACCCCTTTGACCTTGCTAGCACATCAGTGTTGTCTGATCTGATCATGGTCTGCTTTGTTGGCTATTCAGTTTGTACATGTTTGGAAATTTTCCCTAAAAATGATGAATGGTCTTATCTAGGTGTAAAGATGGACAAATCCATTTAAGATATTTGTGGTAACTTAGGGTTAATGTAATATTCATTATGTTATCTGTTAGAAGGAGATATATATGTAGCCACTTAACATTTGTTCCTGATTTATAAATAAGTTTGAAGTTACTTTGAGAAACTTAATTCACAACTGATGTAGTAATTTGGTGGTATTCCCAATATGGCAAAGAAATATTATGGTTGACATATATTATTTTCATTTTTCAGAGAAACACCCGAGGTTCAACTGCCTCCACATCCAGTGAGATCATGTGTGAAATCTGCTGTTTTACAAAACCTGCAAATGTATGCCCCAATTTTATATTTGATAGATATTGTTATTAAATGAAAATTATAAAGCCTTTCTAGTTATGTTCAGAAGTATATAATATCATCAGTTATTGAAATTAGGATTCTGTGAGTAAGCAATGAACCAAAAACTATTGTTATAGATAGGTTATATTTTTCAATTAAATGCCAAATACACATTGGGTGGGGGGGGGTTAATTAAAAACATTGTGGCTTTAAAATTATTCCGTGGAACGTGACATCCCCTGATAATTTTTTGTGCCCCCACTATAGGTGGGGGGGGGCATTTAGATTTACCCTTGTCCTTCCGTCCGTCCATTCCCTTTTTGTGTTGCACATAGCTCAAAAAGTAATTGATCTAGAGTCATGAAACCTTACAAGAATATTGATCAGCATGTGAAGTTGTGCACCTGGGTATTTTTGTGTGGATATATTTAGTATTTTTAGAGTTGTTGCTCTTGAATTAGTAAAAATTTCCAATTTCAACTTGTGTCGCACATAACTAAAAAAGTATTTGACCTAGAGTCATGAAACCTTACAGGAATGTTGCTCAGCATGTGTAGTTGTGCACCTGGGTATTTTCGTGTGGATATTTTTAGTATTTTTAGAGTTATTGCCCTTGACTTAGTAAAAATTTGCAATTTTCAACTTGTGTCGCATGTAACTCAAAAAATATTTTACCTAGAGTCATGAAACCTTACAGGAATGTTGATCAGCATGTGTAGTTGTGCACCTGGGTATTTTTGTGTGGATATATTAAGTATTTTTAGAGTTATTGCCCTTGACTTAGTTAAAATTTCCAATTTTCAACTTGTGTCGCATGTAACTAAAAAAGTATTTGACCTTGAGTCTTGAAACCTTACAAGAATGTTGCTCAGCATGTGTAGTTGTGCACCTGGATATTTTTGTGTGGATATTTTTAGAGTTATTGCCCTTGACTTAGTAAAAATTTACAATTTTCAACTTGTGTCGCACGGAACTCAAAAAATATTTTACCTAGAGTCATGAAACCGTACAGGAATGTTGCTCAGCATGTGTAGTTGTGCACCTGGATATTTTTAGAGTTATTGGCCTTGACTTAGTAAAAATTTACCATATTTAACTTGTGTTGCACGTAACTCAAAAAGTTTATGACCTGTAGGCCTGAAAGTTTACAAGAATGTTGGTCAGCATGTGTACTTATGCACTTTGGGGTTTTCTTGTGGATTTATTCAGTATTTATGGTATTTGCCCTTTGCTTTATAAAAGATTTTTAGTTTTCAACTTGGGCACATGTAGCCAAAAAAATTATTTGACCTAGAGACATAAGATTGACAAATAGGTGGAGTGTGGGGGCACCCGTGTCCTATGGACACATTTCTAGTTAACTATTAAAATGTGGCTATTCTTTATCTTAAGATCATACTTATAGGTTATTTAAGTTACTACATGTATATTACAATGGTGTGAATCCTGTTAAATTTACGTGTCTGTCATAAATTGCTTTCTCAGATGTAAGATTTATATTGTAGGAAATGACAGGGTTAGAGTGTGGTCACAAGTTCTGCTCCCTATGCTGGATGGATTATCTGACCTCAAAGATTGTTGATGAGGGTATGGGACAGACTATAGCATGTGCGGCCTTTGGTTGTGATATTCTAGTTGATGATGTCACTGTCATGTATGTATTTATAGATATTTGCCTAATTTAACCTTTAGCCTGATGTCAACAATTGATTCTACCAGTGCAGCAAGGGCAGAACAAGATCATTTTGGCTCATCTGTACCATCTGATCATGTTCTGCACTGTTTGCCATTCAGTCAGGACCTATTTAAAAAAATCATAAATTGATAAAGTTTTGTCCAAATCGCAAGATGGATTGGTCCATCTTTGATATTTAGAGGGATAAGAATTAGTTTCAAAACTTTCAATCTAATTTGTTGACAATATGATCATATACATTGTTAGATTGCATTAAAAGTTTGTGACAGGATTGAGGAGGTCAATAACTTATGTTATCCTTTCTTAAGCATATATGTTTGTTTCAACCCTAAATCTGCTGCTGAAATTTCGGAATGGATTTGCCCAGCTTTGAATTTCTGGAATAAGTTATTCAATGTTTAAGGGATTTTAATATCAGAGTGCAGAAAATGAACTATCAAGAGTATAGAAACTAGCCAGGCTGAATACTGATGACAAAGGTTAATTACTTTTGGTTCCAGCAGGTTAAAAGTTAAGCAAGTACCTATTAATTGTTTTAATACCACAGATATAAACAACTGCAATACAACGTACAGATAACATACCATCGGGCTATTTCTCTACATTAAGATAGTTGTACGCAAGAAATAATACATAAATTTTCTTTTTTTAAAGGAATTTAAAAAAAGCCCCAAAAAGTGAGTTTAAAAGTATCAACCTTTAATTAAAAAATTTAGTTTTGTGAGGTAAGTCTTTTTTTTAACCCCAGTATATTTTTTTTTTGTATTTTTGATTAGAAATTTCAAATACTAAGAAACCCTTTGACCTTGCTAGACATTTTTAGTTATTCAGAAATTTAAAAAAAGGGTTTCACTTTAAAGGGAAAAATTTATAATCGTCAGAAAATTTAAATTTTTTTTGGGGGAAATATGAAAATAGGTTTAAAAATTTGGAATTAAGGGAAAATTTGCCCAAATTTTAACCAACGTGCGTAGTTTTAACCCCCTTGCTAAGCAACACTTTAAAGGAAAAGCCCAAAATTTTTTGATTAGTTTACAGGTTCCCACGGGTTTTTAAAGTTTCCCAAAAAGTAAGAGGTGGACAGGGGGGGGATGAACATACACCCCTGGGTTATAAATAAAAATGAAACCAGACTTTTATTTGCTTTTATTTCAGTGTAATAAATTATTACGTTGGTGCCCAGCCCCTGATTTGTGGCCCAACGTTGTTAAAGTAAAAATATTTTGTTTGAAAAAATTTGTACAGTGGCTTTGTGACAAAACATTCTGGTAAATTTTTTTTTTGCTTTAAAATATTTCCATCTTTCTTTTAAAAAATTTTCAAACTGATGGCCTTGTCCAACGCAAGTTTTTAATTGTGTACTGTCAAATCTATGTTTTTAAAATGATTTTTGATTTGGAAAAAACAAAAGCAAAACTATAATACCATTGTGCAAAATGCTTGGTACAAGTTTTCTTTTCTGTCAAATTTTTTTGGGTTTGACTTTTGTTTTGAAAATTTTTAGTTACTATTTTGGGCAGCTAGTATTAACCCCAGCTGAAAAACCCCCCTTTTTATCGCATTACCCTTTCTGTTAAACCCAAAAGGGGTAATATAAATAAATACATTGAGAAAATTTAGGGAGCGTTATTTAATAACTTTAAAGCATGCTGTCCCCAACCCCCTTTGATAGCAGAAACTTACACTTTGCTGCATTTACTGTCTGAACTCTAGGTGGAAATGTGTCCTCAGCAATTTCTCAGATAAATTGCTATTGTTTAGTAAACAGCAATCATTGATGCCCAAATGACTTAAAATTTCCTAGACTTAGCAATAGGAAATAATTGGCTTGAATAACTTAAATATCTATGTTTGTTTAAAAATTAGAAATTAGTGAAATGGCTTATAATATTTAAGATTGATATAAATACAAAGATTGTTTTTACTTGGCTGTTTTGGAGAAAAAAGACAAATTATGATAGCTGCATTTTCGTTTTACAAAATGTTGCTCATTATTCAAACATTTTAAAAGCTATCAACATGAAACATGGAATACTTGCTCTTGTTCTGTCATTGGATTTGGAGCTTTTGATAAAGGGTCCCTTAAAATTCATTAAATAATTTTCAACAAACCTTTCTTTGTGGATACAGTATTCCTTTAATAGTTACAGGAGACACACTGATGCATGTGATTGATATATTTTCAAATAATGGATATTGTTAGATGGTTCTTTTATGTATTTAATGAAACTTTTGACTAAATATATAATGAGATATTGAGATCAGATATTTGAAAGTTGTGTGTATTTTATAGTTTTGCATGTGGAGAAAATTGGCATGACCCGGTGAAATGTATGTGGTTGAGAAAGTGGATACGAAAATGTGATGATGACAGTGAAACATCCAACTGGATAGCTGCCAACACAAAGGTATGGTATAGCAAAAGTGCAAATAAAAAAACTGTCAATCCTCAATCTTCTTTATTTCTTTAATTGATTTGTCAAATTTTATTTTTGGAACTGTCTATTATCAATTTGGGGGATGTCAAGATGAAAATTTAGTTAAGTCAGCCAATAGTATAGAGCCTGGTCAGACTGTAAGGATATGCATGATGGTCTGACTAGATACTGATGGCTTATCACTTTGGTTGTAGCAGGGTTATGGTTTACCTACAATATAAATGGGTACGGATTTTCATGCTACCCATGCTTTATATGTGTTATTATAATGTACTGCTTTAGATAAAGATTTGTGAATGAAATATTTTTATTATCAAAATGCTTATAATGTTTGGGTCAGGTTGCAAAATGAACCTTTCTCTTATAGCCTATACATTGAATAGTTGTTATTACTGCCAGAAGTAAAAATTGTCTAATGTGTGAATATAAGTTATGACAAGTAAAAAGAGAGCATCATAATTTACATAAGATATATTAAAATCTTCCTGTTATCCCTTTAGATATATACTCAGGCAAGTCAATAAACTAGAATAAAAAAATAACTGATCCAGATGCTGTGAGAAAATTTATCAAACTGAAACTTAGGACTTTTTAGACTGACTTTCGATTTCTCAGTTTTGGTATTTTCATTTATCTTTTAAGTAAAACATAAACTTCACTTTCAAAAGTCAAAGCAGAATTAGAAACACTTGCCCCTCACATGTATTTGTTTTAATCTAGAAGGAGATTTATGATCTTTTAGTTATTATTTGAAACTCTTAAATTTCAGGAGTGCCCTAAATGCCATGTGACCATTGAGAAAGATGGTGGATGTAATCACATGATTTGCAAGAATCAAAACTGCAGGGCAGACTTTTGCTGGGTGTGTTTGGGACCCTGGGAACCTCATGGATCTTCCTGGTATATCAGATTCTTTATCTATCCCTTAACCTACTTGATTTCTTAATAGACCTGTCCAGCTTACACTTTTATAATTGTCCATAATATTGTTTTAGGAACTTCAAGCTAATCAACAATATAAAGTATTGTAAGACTGCATGGTAGTGCAGGCTAGCCTGGATCTTAACTTGTGCCAAAGGCTTATCACTTTTGTGCCTGCAAGATAGGAACTATTTTTTTATCTCCTGAAACTAACAACTAAAATTATGTTACAGCCAATCTTAAAGCTACATTTAATAAATTTCATAAAAAACTAAATAGCGACATTTCATTAATAAATTGGGTTTCATATCAACACCAGGTCTTATTTTGGTGTCCAACTCCGCCTTTGGATCATCCGTACATCAATATTGAATCAACAAACATTACTATAAGTACATGTAGTAGTCCTAATTTAACGGTATATTTCCCGCATTGTAACGGATGATTTCATACAAATTTAATCTATTTACGAAATGATAACTTTTTCGGAACCCCAGGCTTAGTGCACCATGAAGCTAAAATGGTAAAAGGAAAATATATTTGCTGTGATCCGGATAGGAACTATTAAACTGTGACGTAGCGCATACACCAACTCGTAATAGGCTTCATTTGCATGTTAAAATTCGTATACTAACTTTAGTGTTACCGTGGGGTTTTCTGTTTAAAATCCTAATTTATGAACAATATTTGATGAGATTTACAACAATACTGTTAAACATGTTAATGAAACTGTAGAATGCTTGATTTTTAGGCTGATGGCAAAATATTTTTAAAATTTTTATTTAATGTAGCTTTAATATATGGATGAAAGCTGTTATAAAACCTGTTGCTGGAGCCATCATTTATTTAATTATCCCCCGCCTATGGAATCGGGAGGGGGATATAGTTTTGGCGTTGTCCGTCCGTCCGTCCGAATTTCGTTTCCGGAGTAGTTCTCTGCAACTACTGGCTGGAATTCAACGAAACTTTATGGGAATCATCAATATCAAGAGGAGATGCGCATATCGTCGGCTTGTTCCGGTCAGACACTTTAACTCAGAGTTATGGCCCTTGATTAGTTATGCAGTATGCATATGGAGTAAAAATCGTTTCTGCGCTACTTCTCTGCAACTACTGGCTGGAATTCAACGAAACTTTACGGGAACCTTCAATACCAAGAGGAGATGCGCATATCGTCGGCTTGTTCGGGTCAGACACTTTAACTCAAGAGTTCTGGCCCTTGATTAGTTATGCAATATGCATATGGAGTAAAAATCGTTTCCGGAGTAGTTCTCTGCAACTACTGGCTGGAATTCAACGAAACTTTATGGGAATCATCAATATCAAGAGGAGATGCGCATATTGTCGGCTTGTTCCAGTCAGACCCTTTAACTCAGAGTTATGGCCCTTGAATAGTTATGTAGTATGCATATAGAGTAAAAATCGTTTCCGCACTACTTCTCTGCAACTACTGGCTGGAATTCAACGATACTTTATGGGAACCTTCAATACCAAGAGGAGATGCGCATATCGTCGGCTTGTTCCGGTCAGACACTTTAACTCAGAGTTATGGCCCTTGATTAGTTATGCAATATCCATATAGAAAAATATTTGTTTCCTCACTACTTATCTGCTACTACTGGCTGGAATTCAATGAAACTTTATGGGATACTAAGAGGAGATATGCATATAGTCGCCTTGTTCCAGTCAGATACTTATAACTCAGATTAATGGCCCTTGATTAGTTATGTAGTATGCATACATCTCATTGGCATTTCCAGATTTTACTATTTAACACAAAGTTATGGCTCTGTTTTTGTTCTGAATATTTATCATGTTCAAAGAATATTACTGTTTATGCCATGATTAATATATAAATAAAGCCTTATGTCTTCAGTTGTTGTGTTAATAATAACCAGTACTCGGCGGGGGATATAAATTCAACGAATTTGCTTGTTAAGCAGTGTTTGATTTTTCACCCCTTTAGGAAATGGGATTCAGCTGTGTAAACTTTGGTTTATATTGAAGCCTAAAATAAGTTAATTGGGTAAAAGTTATGTCTCAGCAAATGCAAAATTGTTAAATTTTAATAACTACTGAAAAATTTTTATGTAAAAAAATTGTATGTAATAAGGCATGGGTCCCTATACTAGACATTTCAAAAGAAAAATGAAAAAAGGACTTGATTTGCTGAATTTCTGTTCTGAAATAAATTAATCCTCTGGTTCTGCTCTTTTGAAAAAAAAATAATAAAAAAATATCAGTATTTAATAATAATTTTTTTTTAATGAGAATAGCAAGTCCTGTATAATTATATCATTGGGTATTTGTGAATTTTTATTCACAAAAAAATATATTTTATTCATTTATTGTTAATGTTTTATATTACAGGTACAATTGCAACAGATTTGATGAGGATGAGGCAAAGAAAGCCAGAGATAGTCAAGAAGTATGTAAAACTTATTATAATACATTATTTGTTTAATTTTGTTAGCAATACATGGCTGAAATTTGTAATTGTCTTGCCCTGGTTTATCTTGAAATTGGTTATTGTTTATTTCAAGGATTTTGACATATAATAAAGGGCAAGAATAAAAACTTGTAAAATTATTTATTTAATAGATTGCTAAAAACAAAAATGTTTTGTGTCATGTGATTTAACAACAGAGAAGGTGTTTTTAATAAAATTCTAGAACAAAAGGACTTGTTTATGTAATTCTTCAACAAAAAATCTTGTTTCATGTAAATATTCAACAAAACTGTTTTGTTTTATGTAATTAAATAACAAAAAGGTTCTTATTTAATAGAATTCTAGACAAAAGGTATTTTAATGGAACTTCACAATAATGAATTAGATGGGTTTTTATTTCATTAAATATTTTTTAAATTCTTCAGCAAAACAGTCCTTTTTATTCGAATTCTAGAATGATTAATCATTTTGTTGTTGTTGTTTTTTGTCAGAATTTTGAAGTGCACAGTCCATGAAAATAAAATGATTATAAAATAAAGTTCATAAACAAAATAAGTAAATTTTTAAAAACCCTGAAATGTGTAAAACTTGTAAATATGCAACAGCTCTATATTAACATTGTCTTCTGTTTTTATCAGAAATCTCGTTGTCACCTACAGAGGTATCTATTTTATTGTAATAGATACATGAATCATATGCAGAGTCTCAAATTTGAGAACAAAGTAAGTATCATAATATATATTTGTTGTCTTCAAGTCTTAAAATCTACTTTTCATATATGAGATGAGTGGCCTCCCTGTGTAAGGTCCATGACTTCAAATCACTTGCCCCTCAGTGCTGATGGTTGAGTCCTGTTAGGACCTTGTGATAATTTCATGTGCGAATGCTGGCTTGCTAAAAGAAGTTCAAATGTTCTACTCACATGCCTGGTTATGCTTTAAAACATACATTTAGGACACCTGAGGTGTTAGCCACAAGTAAAACTGAGAAGTTGCCATATGATCAATAGTTTTTAACCAGGTTTTTTTACCAGGTTTTCCGAAGGAAAAAACTGGTTATTAGATTGAGGGCGGGCAGGCGGGCGTAAACAATTACTTCTGTGCGCAACTCCTTCTACATTTCTCAACTGATTTTGACCAAACTTTCACAGAAGCTTTTTCATCAAGTGCCCTGGCGCATATTGTCGGGGTTTTGCGATTGGATAATATTTGACCTAATTATGGCCCTTTGTTTTTTTTCCTTATATAGAATATATAGTGAACAATTTCTTCTGTGTGCAGCTCCTCCTACATTTCTCAACGAATTTTGACCAAACTTTCACAGAAGCTTTGTCATCAAGTGCACTGGGGCATATTGTCAGGGTTTTGCGATTGGATAATATTTGACCTAATTACTGCCCTTTGTTTTTTTTCCTTATAAAGAATATATAGTGAACAATTCCTTCTGTGCGCAACTCCTCCTACATTTCTCCACGGATTTTGACCAAACTTTCACAGAACCATTGTCACCAAGTGCCCTGGGGCATATTGTCGGAGTTTTGCGATTGAATAATATTTGACCTAATTATTGCCCTTTGTTTTTTTTCCTTATATAGAATATATAGTGAACAATTTCTTCTGTGCTGAGCTCCCTCTACAATTCTCAACGGATTTTGTTCAAACTTTCACAGAAGCTTTGTCATCAAGTGCCCTGGCGCATATTGTCAGGGTTTTGTGATTGGATAATCTTTGACCTAATTATGGCCCTTTGTTTTTTTTCCTTATACAGAATATATAGTGAACAATTTCTATCGTGCGCAACTTCTCCTACATTTCTCAACGGAATTTGACCAAACTTTCACAGAAGCTTTGTTATCAAGTGCCCTGGCGCATATTGTCGGGGTTTTGTGATTGGATAATATTTGATCTAATTATGGCCCTTTGTTTTTTTTTCCTTTTAGAGAATTATCAATATAAATTATAGTGAACAAATTCTTCTGTGCTGAACTCGTCCCACAATTCTCAACGGATTTTGTTCAAACTTTCACAGAAGCTTTGTCATCAAGCGCCCTGGCACATTTTGTCGGGGTTTTGTGATTGGATAATTTTGACCTAATTATGGCCTATTGTTTTTTTCCTTATACAGAATATATAGTGAACACTTCTTCAGTGGCAATTCCTCCTACATTATTCATGTTTTACATTGCACATAGTTACATTGTTTGTTGCTTGTATTTGTATTTCAAATACAACATATTTATCTACAATGGTGATAATTGAAAACCTGGTTTCATGGCATTGCCATGTTTCTTGTTTACAGTGTTGTTATGACTTGAAAACAAAAAATTAACAATTTTTTGTATATAGGAAATTCTGTCTATAATAATGAATTAAGTAGCTTTTACCTTTAATTATTAATGAAAATTATGTATTATAAAAATGTTAGGATTTGAGTGAAGACACTTGAAATACAGCACATCACATACTGATGAAGCTGGAAGTATTGATATTCAGTAGACCTGCCGATTATGAATTAAATGAGATGACTAGTCTTGGCCACTTTGATATGGGCAAACCTTTCAGTTTTTGCTCCTCCATTAACTAGAATTTTAATTCTATATCAGTACTCAAGAGAAATACACTAAGTTGTAAATAAAAGAAATAAGGGGTACATCAAAGATTGATAACTTGACACATTTAATTGTTATATTACATATGATAAAAAAAGATGTCCCTTGTGTTTCAGTTGTATGCATCAGTTAGATTGAAAATGGAAGAAATGCAGCAACATAGCATGTCATGGATTGAAGTACAGTTCCTTAAGGTCGCTGTCGATGTACTATGTAGCTGTCGACAGACTCTCATGTACACATATGTATTTGCTTTCTATCTGTCAAAAAACAACCAGTCTATCATATTTGAGGTAAGGAGTGAAATATAATTTTATCTTTTTGTTTTCTCCCTTATAAGATATTAAGATAAGGCCATTGTTGTAAAGTGTGTAAGTTTTTCATTTGTAACTTGAAGAGTATAGATCATGATATCAGAAATTGGATCCCAGGCTAGTCCAACTAGAAGAACTAATAGTCTTAAAGATTCGAAATGGAGGTCTTTATTATTTTAATAGATCATTTTGGTTCCCAAGATTAATAATTAAACTAAGGTTGAATAAAATAATGCAAGCTGGGCATATTTTTATGCCACCGCAGCATCTGCGATGCGGTGGCATATAGCGATTCACCTGTGTGTTTGTGTGTGTGTTTGTGTGTGTGTTTGTGTGTGTGTTATATAGATTATATAGTGAACTTAAAAAATCTTCTTGTGAAAAACCACTAGTCCAATTTCAACCAAACTTGGCAGGATTGTTCCTTGGGTGAAGGGCTTCCAAAGTTGTTCAAAGAATTTCATTCCATGCAGAAATCTGGTTGCCATGGCAACCAAAAGGAATTATAAGAATAAATTTAAAAAATCTTCTTGTAAAGACCCAAAAGGCCTAGAGCTTAGATATTTTGCATAAGACATTGTCTGGTAGACCTCTAACAAGATTGTTCAAATTATAGCCCTGGGGTCAAAATTGGCCCCGCCCCGGGGGTCATTGATTTTCACTATGTACATATAGTAAAAACTTAAAATACCTTCTTGTAAAAACCCAAAAGGCCTAGAGCTTAGATATTTTGCATAAGGCATCGTCTGGTAGACCCTTACCAAGATTGTTCAAAATATAGCCTTTGGGTCAAAATCGGCCCCGCCCCGGGGTCATTGATTTTCACTATATGTACATATAGTAAAAACTTAAAACACCTTCTTGTAAAGACCCAAAAGGCCTAGAGCTTATATATTTTGCATAAGGCATTGTCTGGTAGACCTCTACCCAGATTGTTCAAATTATAGCCCTGGGGTCAAAATCGGCCCCGCCCCGGGGGTCATTGGTTTTCCTTATATGTATATAGTAAAAACTTAACAAAGGCTAGAGTTAAGATATTTTGCATGAAACATTGTGTAGTGAACCTCTTGCAAGATTGTTCAAATTATAGCCCTGGGGTCAAAATTGGTTCTGCCCCGGGGGTCATTGATTTTCATTATGTACATATAGTGAAAAAATGAAAAATATTTTTGTCTGAAGGTACAAGGCATAGAGCTTTGATGTTTGATATATAATATCATTTATAGTTCCTCTACCAAAGTTGTTCAAAATTTTCCCCTGGTGTCAAAAATGGCCCTGCCCGGGGGCAGTGATTCTCATTATGTACACATAGTAAAAACAGAAAATAAAACAAATGTTTTCTGAATGGGAGAAAGCTATAGCTTAGATATTTGACTTGAAATGTTGTTTGGTGGACCTGTATCAAAATTGTTTTAAATTAAACCCTTGGGTCAAAATTATGCCTTGCCCAAGGGGACAGTGACCTACTTTCTTGTCCTTTGATGTACAGCAATGACATTTTGACCATGTGCACAGTTTTAGTTGTAAAATTGAACTTTGATATCAGGTGACCTAGATTTTGATGATGTGACCTACTTTCTTGTCCTTTTATGTACAGCTATGAAATTTGAACCATGCGGTGGCATAGCATTTTTCTCAAATGCAATCTTGTTTCACTATTAACTTTGTTTTTTTATGCCTCCTTTTAGCGAGGACGTATAATTTTGCATTTGTCCATCCATCATGCTGTTAAGCTTACTGTTCGAGACGGACAAAAAAGCTGAATGTGCAGTCATTTCTAGTTTTATATAAGAACAACCTCTTTTCCCTCCAACAGGAAAACCAGAAAGACTTGGAACATGCCACTGAACAATTATCAGAGTACTTGGAGCGTGACATAACCTCTGAACTTCTTGTTGATATTAAACAGAAAGTACAGGACAAATACAGGTAATTCTATGTGTTTTACTGATCATAACATAAGTTAATGCTTTTACAATTACTTAATATTGTTATATTTGATAGGAATATTTTATTGATTAATTTTTCAAAGAAATCATGTACAGAAGAGCTTCTATATGTCAAATTTTGATAAGTGTCATAGTTAGATGAATGAAAGTCCAGATTTTTTTCCCTCTATGTATTCTTAATTAATATGTTTATATGAGTTTATTTTTTATGTGCTCCATAAAGAATAAGTGGAGAACATTTTACCATATTAATTATAAGTTAAAATTCCTTGTTTAATTTGACATGTTTGATCTTGATGTATTTTACACACCTTTTATATCAGCGATGATGATAGCTGATCAACTTGTATGACAAGTTTCAATTACACTGCCTGGTCAGACTGTACAAACATGTAGACTGTCCTAGTTCTACAATAGTGATACAGGGTAATCACCTTTTGTGTCAGTAGGTCAAGGTTTTATAGAAAAATGGATATGTCTGAGTTTATACAACTATATACAGTGCCCATCAAAAGTCTGGAGACAAGTAAATAAAATCAAGTATTCTTGACAAAATATTCAATTTAATTCAATTTGAATGTATAATAATACATAACAATTCATTCATGTCATATATCATCACAAAAACAATACACAACTTACATAAATAAGTATCAAATGCCAAATATTGTCTCATTTACACTTATAGCACAACAACCAACAAAAGCACTACAGAAAAGGTCACACAGTTAGTACTTAGTGTGTCCACCTCTAGCTGCCAAAACGGCTTGAATTCTTCTTGGCATACTCTTAACTAATGTTCTACATCTGTTAACTGTCAACTCATTCCAGGAATCACAAACATTGACCGACAGTTCTCTTAGATTACCATGAAGCTTGTTCCTCAGAGCTTCGTTTTCATGTCATGCCACAAATTTTCGATGGGGTTTAGGTCTGGAGACTGTGGTTGCCAGTTCTCCAAGCACCTAATGCTGTTCTGGGAGTGCCATTCTTTCACTATCTTGGCCCGGTGGCATGGGGCACCATCATCTTGGTACCAGAACTCATCTCCATACCCTAGCAGATGAGCTGATGGTATGGCACAATTGTTCAAAATGTCAATGTAACCATGGGAATTGAAGTTTCCATTCACGACCTTCAGAATACCAGTTCCCCGGTAGCTCATGGCACCCCATACCATGATTTCACCACCTTGAAATTTAACTGTTGACACAACAAATTTGTCCAAAAGAGCTTCACCTGGACGTCGTCTGACAAGAATTGGTCCATCTGTCTGAAACATGTTGAACTTGCTCTCATCGGTGAACAAAACAGTGGACCAATCCACCCATGTCCAGCTAGCATGTGCTCTAGCAAAAGCCAAACGCTTCTCTCTATGAGCATTGGTCAGTAGTGGCTTCTTAATGGATCGATGACTCTGTAATCCAACTTGCTAAAGTCTACGACAAACTGTGGAATGTGAAGCATTTACTCCAGCCAATTCCCATGACCTCTTGAGCAATGGAACAGTAAGTCTCCTGTCTTGTAGAGACTGCCTGATAAGTGAGCAATCATCTCTTAGTGTAGAGGTCTTTGGACGGCCTGAACGAGGTCGATCATGGTGACTTCCAGTAACCTCAAATCGTTCCAGGATCTTGTAAACAGTGGATCTGGAAGAAGAACAAGTAAATTAAGCAAAGAAAAGACATCCAAAGCTACATAAGAATTTTGATGTATTCAGCAAGTGAAAAAAAAATGGAAAAAAAAGATAAATTTAAGTCGCTAACCTTCCTATTCCCAGAATGTTGGCAATTTCTGCAACAGCAACTCCTTGACTCCTCAGGGTTTCACAGCGCACTCTGTCTTCATACGAAACCATTGTTTTGTAGTGGAATATTCACTAGATTGATCATGGATGTTTTGTTCGTATTTGGGCAGACAATTTTTATGGATAATCAAAATGTTTTGAAGTGATCGAAATTACAAGTTAATTATCAGTTTTCCCTAAAAATATGTAAAACTGTAAGTCTGTCATAAAGATATGAAAATTTTATGACTTTCTTAACATTTTATATGCCAAAAGTTAATAACAGGAGATAATGTTATATTTCAAACAATAAAACTGCACTTTATAGACAAATTTTGCCAATTTTACACAAAAATCAGTAAATTGTTGGTTGTCTCCAGACTTTTGATGGGCACTGTATATATGACGTATGACATATTTTATATTGCAGATACTGTGAAAGCAGAAGAAAGGTTCTGTTAGATCATGTACATGAGGGATACGAGAAGGAACAATGGGAATACCAAGAAGTATTGTGATAGCAATTATCTCCCTTAGTTACTATTTATAGACAATTGAATACATTTCATTCATGTTACTTCTTAATTTTGCAAGAACCAAAATATCTGGAACGAACGTCATGATAATTTTTTATTTATTTTTTTGTAAACATGTAAATCTCATGAATTATTGTTAGTAAAAATGAAGCATGTACTTTCTGCTTGTCTTTTAAGTTTTATCATCAATATTTTACTGTTTGCAGAATGACAGATATTTCTGGTATCAATAGTATTTGTTACTTGACATGGTGTATGAATACATATATCTAGTTTTGATTATTTAAGTAATTATTTAAATAATTGATTCTGATTATAAATTGAATTCTTCCTATGTTTGTAATACATGAAATATATGAAATTTTTTACTTATGATGAAGCATTGTTTAAGAATATGGACTCTAGGATAAAGGTAGAGTGTTCATGTAATGATTGGCATTTATCACAAGTTTATTGTCAGACCAGCCTGTCCACCCTGCATTCTGACAAAGGCTCTTTATAAACCTGGTATTTTATATGAAAATCCCTCAAACCACTAATACACTCTTCCATTTCACAGCAGGGCAATTTCATTTTACAAAAGAGGCAGTTTATGGCTTAAGACTTTTAAAGGGACTTCAATGAGGTTTATTGACATTATTGACAATTTCTTTTTACAATTTGATGTGGGTCTATACCAATAAATTGTGGACAAAATTTCAGATCATTAGCTGGCACCTTTTTTTCTACAATAATCCTTTATATTGTGCCAAATGACCCAAAAACGAAAATTTAAAGGTATTGAACTCAAATCAAGCTAAAAATCATGCTAAGTATTGACTTTTTATTAAATTCTGCATATATTTCTGAATTGTCTTTTTCATATTTGTCTGTTTTAGTATCCAATACCATGTGATCTTAAGTGAGATTTTCATATTTTATGTTTTTAGACTTTGGACCTCAGTGGAGTCCTTTTAATGTTTTTTGTTGATTTTTTTTTTAATAGACAGTTAATATGTTGCTATGAATAAAATAAGACATACTGAAAATGGCTGCCCTGAACAGATGTGCGTGACCACTGAAAGTTGTGTGCTCTGTTATGATATAGACCATTGTTTCAAGGCTTATAAAAGATGCTGCATTTCATGTTAGTTGTTTCATAAAATTTAGAAGCAAAGAAGTGTCAATATTTGTAATAATTTGCTTAGGTAAGAACCAATTGACTTCTTGTTTTAAAGAGTCTTGGTATAAAAGAGGGGTCTAAGTAACTTAGTGAATATGTCAGTCATTGACTTCAGGCTTTGATTAAGATTAAAATTAGTGTAAGCATAGAAACAATTTGTGCTAATTCATGTAAACTCTGTTAGCAGTACTTGATGTCATTGAAATATTAACTTTTCAATATAACATTTTTATATGTTTAGCAAAGAGAAAGAATGACCAGGTTAATATACAACATTAAAATCACTGAAAATTCTTCAGAATTATGTTTAAAAAATTAAAACATGCATAATTTATGTGTTTCTTAACAATTTAGACTTTGTATTTGTAGAAATTTAAATATTTTAAGGTTTAACTTGGTGTACAAAGTATTGGAACCTTTCTAAATAATAAACATTGTGGTATACTGTGCCATATATGGTTGATTATCCTGGTTATAGTATACACATTTCTCTTGGGTATATACCACATATATCAAGGTTTTTACATAAACATTTTCAAAGAAAAATTCTATTGATACTTTACTTATAACATGTATCTCTGTAATGTCTAACACTCTGTTTTGTCAAACACTTTGTTATGTCAAACACTCTGTTATGTCAAATGCTCCTTGTTAGCTCTGTGAATAGGACTTTACAATTTTGCTGCTTTCAAGACAGATATACACTTTTCACACAGTTTGCCTGCAAGGCTAGTTATGGTAACATGTTTATTATCTTTTATGAGCTGGTTGATAAATAATATTATATTTACTATGTGCATTTTCTTCAATTGTGTAACTAAAGAACAGCATGCTTATTTTTGTGGTGAAAAAAGACTAGAATTATTATTCTGGCATTGAATAGGTTTAAATGTATGGAATCTTATTGCAGGTTTTTAAATGGTTAAATTCATTCTTTGCTAATATAATTGAAGATAGTATACAGAAATGGGTGTTTTCTAACATTTCTGATTATTACATCATAGATCTTGGAATAATAAATGACTTAATTATTTCATGTAGTATTTGTAACAGGTATTGTATAAAATGGTTTTAAGTTTCATTATTTTGTATACAAGCTCCACCACAACACCTAAATATTTCAAGAAATGATGTTAATAAAATAAAAAAATGAACATGTGCTCATTTATCTACAAACCCTTAAAATAAAAATGAAATATATTTTGCAAGAGATTGTGGTGTTGTGTTAACCTAGTTTAAAAAGTACCCATAAACATGTTTAATAATCAAGACTGTCTTTGTAAAATTGTGTTTAGGAAATGACCATCTAGATATCAAAACAACATAAAAGTTTACTAGTAGATTGTAAAGTTCAATTGGTCGTCTCTTCCAAGGAATAGTTTCCACCAATCAAAAAAAGAAATGTAAAGAAAAAAGGCACAGGCAGAAAATTCTGTCTGTTTTAGCATTGTCATCACTTTGATGAATGAGAACCATCGAAGTGCAACAAAAAAACAAGAACATTCCTTTAGTCTTAACAGACAAGTTCATTTTGACCACAATCTGCGTGTACTCAGAGTAGAGTATATATTTAGTACAAATATTTTATGTAGAATTGTCATATACTTCATCAATACCTAAACCTTTCTTCAAAATCATTTTATGTTTTGTTTCACAAAGAATACATTTTTATTAGTTTAAAACTACATTTTTCTGTTTGAAAAATTTCAGAAATGTTGAATAGATTATGTTTTGGTTTTATTTTTATTGGATATACATTTTATCAATAGCTACCGGCCTGCCATGTTGTTATAAACACTTGGATTCATATTGTGTCAGCTAAAGTCTGAAATTTAGACACAGACTGCAAGTTGCTTAATATTTTATTGTTACAAAAATACTCAAATTATAATGAATTATACTACAGAAATGTTGGGATGTAGAAACACAAACTAAAAGCCTCTATGGCCAAAGTCCCTAACTTTTATCACTTGCCCCTAAACACTATGAGTTTTAAAATCCTGATAGAAATCGGGAATTTTCCGTCTTATTAAAAACAGCTAAATTATGCAGTCCCTGTCTAACTTTTGAGGCTTTTGCTGTAGATGAATTATGAGTGCTGACCTGTGACATTGAGTATTTAAAGTGTAATTTTATTATGTGATGATACTAGGTTTATAGCATTAAGTTTAAATTTTGTGTGTGTTTTACTCGATTTAATGCTTGGTTATGTAAATAATATGTTTTGAATGTTTGAAAAATTTTATTGTATAGGAATAGACGTTGATATGAATTGTTTCTTGTTTTATTTGTTTTAATGCAGTATGAAATACATGTATTTGGAAAGCTGATTTAGCAGACAAGCAAGTGTTTGTAATGCTTATTTGTTAAGGTTATCAATCAGTTACAAGAGTTGATTAATTTTCAGCATGTAATGTACATGTGTATATTTTTCAAGATTTCTCTCAAACTGGAGAGAATTGATCCAGCATGGTAAGCTAACTTAGTAGAGGGGGATTCACCCATAATCTGCTTAAACAGTGATAAGCCTTTACCACCCTGGCCAACCAGCATTATTGTGTGCAGTATAATATGACTTTATATTGTTGGCTGACTAACTTGTAATTTCTTAACATTCCCAAAATTGATAATGGATTGTACTGATGGAAAGTGTCAAAAAAGAAGCTGGACAAGTCCATTCTAGAAATCCAGCAGGTTTAGGATTAAATGACTGTGTGTATTTTGGGTTAATCCTGCTACTTTTTTGGTTAAATAGACTGGTGAATGTAAATGCAAAAATAATTTGGTCACAGTCTATAACCAAGTCTGCTTCCTGTTTTCACACTGAAGGTACATAAATCTGAAGTACGGTAGTAGGTGCTTGTAATCACAACATCTGGTACACGTTGAATTGTATAAGCTTGCAAGACATGGTTCAGTGATTTCGTTTACCCACTGTGATATCATGTGCAGTGGCAGTAAAAATTACATGGATTTGAGAAATCTGCTCATTTCTATTGCCTTACTATGCTATCTTTAACAACATGTTTTATGTTGGGTAACTCCATAAAAATATACTAAAAGCTAAAAACTATACTCTGAATATAAGGTATGATGGGCAAATCCATTATTTAAATTTAGCAGGGTTTATATATAAGTCATGTTAAAATGTTTGTTTATCAGTGCAATGTATTGATTTTAAATCATTATTGTGCAAAATTTGGATCTCAGTACTTTGAATATTTATGCTAATATGTTGAAAAACAAAATATCTTAAAAGCTTTTGGTCATGTATATAGTAAATTAGGAAAATAAATGTTAATTGGACAAAAATCTTGTATGTCTGAGTGTTATCAACTTGTATCTAAAATGTAAAACATTTGGAAAATTGTCAAAGCATACTTATTTCAAGTTTCCAAATTGTATAACTTGTCCAAGTTGGGAACAAATATTGGAGACAATTACTTGGTTGATGAGAAGATAGGAAATATGTATCCAAATGTATGATTTTTCCACAATTATTATGTATAATGGAAATTTTATTGTACCTTTTAACAAAAATTTGAGGAAACTTTAAGGGATTATTTCTCTTGTAAAGGCATTACTCAAGATGAATTAAAGATGAAAATGAAATATTACATTTAATCATTTCTTGCTAATGTACATTATGACATAGTGAACTGTCGGTGTCGCAACTTGTCAATGTTTTATATCATTGCATCATCATAATTTACAGATTTTGCTTAATTCAGCGCTTGTTTATTATTTGTGTATACATACAGTTTATGAATGGTTGCTTGGATATAAGGGATTTTGCACTGTGCATCTTTTGTTTATATTGTAAAATAACTACTCCAAATAAAGGAATACTGTTTTCATACGTTCTGTTTGTTTTTTCTTTGTATATATTTGCATTGGTTTCAAACATTTACTGCGAGAACACAGGTTTTATTGGCCAATTAGTTAAGACCTTAACTTTGAATTATTTGCCATTTTTGTGTTCGAATCCTGCCAGTCTTGAATTGTTTCTTAAATGCAGCATTGGAAGGGCTTCATACAGCAGAAAAACTGACAAGTTGTCATATGACCTTTACAGTATTGGTAGCCGAATATATACTCACTTAATATATTCAATGAAGTTTCGATATTGATGAATTATCATATTTGCAGATATGGAAGGTTCCAGCTCGAATATTATTTGTGACAAATGTGGGAAAACATTTCATTCACCGAAAGGTCTTAATGACCCAATAAACAGGCTGCTCTGCACAGGATCTTATAAATTGTGTGGTAAAACATTTTACAGCCGAGCAAATCGGAAACGTTATGGCGTTTTACTGTTACTATTTAGATCCAATAACATTCAATTATAAGTTATCTAGATACTATCACTCTGTTTGTAAAATAAAGACTCATTCTGATATTCTTTTAGGTTTTCACACACACACATAATACACAAATTATTATAGACATTGAAAAAATTTTTTTTATTTCAAAACGGCTTATATCAAGTTTTTTTTATATATCAGTACATGTGCTGGGATAGACAAATATACATTTTATTTGGATTTTTAAGGCGTTTTAAGCTCCAAACTCCTCACAGTGATTACCTCCCTTGGCAGAATCTCTGAACTGATAAGCGGAGATCACTGCGTTGGACCGTTCCATAGAAAATTTAACGTCATTTTCTCTTTGTTTTATTTTTAATTTTTTGTGCCTATGTTCGTTATAGTTTATCAAAAAGTATACAAAATAATGAAAAATAAATTCAAAAGCTAAAAAGATAAAATAACAAAATATTGATAAGGGGATCACTGCGTATTTGCCAGTTTACTTACCGCGTTGGAAATCCAGTCAGGTATTCGCCATTTATTGCACAATTCTGCGATACTTATTGCAGGAATCGTGCATTATTTTGACATTTCGGCGTTAACTTGATATACACGGTGATTATGGAATTTGATCATTGAATTCTCATCCTTTTTCTATATAAGTGGTGAGTTGTAGCAGACATAGATAATTTTCTGTTTGATAAATAACGAATAATTAAGTAACTAGCTTCCAAAAACGCTAAAAAGTGTACAGAACTGCCAACACTTACCAGTTAAATATGTTAATTGTAGCAGACTTAACACAGGTATCAGACTGTAAATTACTAATGGCAAATCAGTACAAGGTGGCTGATTGTCAATTAAAGCTGACTGAACAGTAGAACCTAAATGTCAATGACAACTGTCTAACCAGTTATACCTGAATGTCAATGACAGCTGACTTAACAGTTGTACCTGAATGTTAATGACAACTGACTGAACAGTTGTACCTGAATGTCAATCACAGCTGACTTAACAGTTGTACCTGAAGGCCATTGAAAGCTGACTAAACAGTTATACCTGAATGTCAATCACAGCTGTCTAAACAGTTATACCTGAACGTCAACGACAGCTGACTTAACAGTTGTACCTGAATGTCAATGACGACTGACTTAACAGTTGTACCTGAATGTCAACGACAGCTGACTTAACAGTTGTACCTGAATGTTAATGACGACTGACTAAACAGTTATACCTGAATGTCAATGACGACAGCTGTCTAAATAGCTATATCTGAATGTCAATGACGACTGACTAAAAAGTTATACCTGAATGTTAATGACGACTGACTAAACAGTTATACCTGAATGTCAATCACAGCTGTCTAAATAGTTATACCTGAATGTCAATGACAGCTGACTTAACAGTTGTACCTGAATGTTAATGACGACTGACTAAACAGTTATAACTGAATGTCAATGACAGCTGTCTAAATAGTTATAACTGAATGTCAATGACGACTGACTAAACAGTTGTACCTGAATGTCAATGACAGCTGACTAAATAGTTATAACTGAATGTCAACGACAGCTGACTCAACAGTTATACCTGAATGTTAATGACTGACTAAACAGTTGTACCTGAATGTCAATGACAGCTGACTAAACAGTTATAACTGAATGTCAACGACAGCTGACTTAACAGTTGTACCTGAATGTTAATGACGACTGACTTAACAGTTGTACCTGAATGTTAATGACGACTGACTAAACAGTTATAACTGAATGTCAACGACAGCTGACTCAACAGTTATACCTGAATGTTAATGACTGACTAAACAGTTGTACCTGAATGTCAATGACAGCTGACTAAACAGTTATAACTGAATGTCAACCACAGCTGACTTAACAGTTGTACCTGAATGTTAATGACGACTGACTAAACAGTTATACCTGAATGTTAATGACGACTGACTAAACAGTTGTACCTAAATGTCAATGACAGCTGACTTAACAGTTATAACTGAATGTCAATGACAGCTGTCTAAACAGTTATACCTGAATGTCAATGACAGCTGACTAAACAGTTATAACTGAATGTCAACGACAGCTGCCTCAACAGTTATACCTGAATGTTAATGACGACTGACTAAACAGTTGAACCTAAATGTCAATGACAGCTGACTAAACAGTTATAACTGAATGTCAATGACAGCTGTTTAAATAGTTATATCTGAATGTCAATGACGACTGACTAAACAGTTGTACCTGAATGTCAATCACAGCTAAATAAACAGTTATACCTGAATGTCAATGATGACCGACTAAACAGTTGTACCTGAAGGCCAATGACACCTGACTCAACAGTTGTACCTGAATGTCAATGACAGCTGTCTAAATAGTTATACCTGAATGTTTTGTTTTGTTTTGGGTTTTACGTCACATCGACACAGTATAGGTCATATCGCGACGTTCCAGCTTTACTGGTGGAGGAAGACCTCAGGTGCCCTTCCGTACATTATTTCAGGCTCGAACGGGCACCTGAGTAGAACCACCGAGGTTCCGTAAGCTAGCTGGATAGCTTCCTCACATGAAAGAATCCAAAGTCCCTGTCGGGACTCGAACCCACAGCGGTGAGGGGCAAGTGGTTTGAAGTCAACGACCTTAACCACTCGGCTATGGACGCCCCATACCTGAATGTCAATGACAGCTGACTAAACAGTTATACCTGAATGTCAATGACTGCTGTCTAAACAGTTATACCTGAATGTCAATGACAGCTGTCTAAATAGTTATATCTGAATGTCAATGACAGCTGTCTAAACAGTTATACCTTAATGTCAATGACGACTGACTTAACAGTTGTACCTGAAGGCCAATGACAGCTGACTAAACAGTTATACCTGAATGTCAATGACAGCTGACTAAACAGTTATACCTGAATGTCAATGACAGCTGACTAAACAGTTATACCTGAATGTCAATGACCACTGACTTAACAGTTGTACCTGAATGTCAATGACAGCTGTCTAAACAGTTATACCTGAATGTCAATGACAGCTGTCTAAATAGTTATATCTGAATGTCAATGACAGCTGTCTAAACAGTTATACCTGAATGTCAATGACGACTGACTTAACAGTTGTACCTGAAGGCCAATGACAGCTGACTAAACAGTTATACCTGAATGTCAATGACAGCTGACTAAACAGTTATACCTGAATGTCAATGACAGCTGACTAAACAGTTATACCTGAATGTCAATGACGACTGACTTAACAGTTGTACCTGAATGTCAATGACAGCTGACTAAACAGTTATAACTGAATGTCAATGACAGCTGTCTAAATAGTTATAACTGAATGTCAATGACGACTGACTAAACAGTTGTACCTGAATGTTAATGACGACTGACTAAACAGTTGTACCTGAATGTCAATGACAGCTGTCTAAACAGTTATACCTGAATGTCAATGACGACTGACTAAACAGTTTTACCTGAAGGCCAATGACAGCTGACTGAACAGTTATACCTGAATGTCAATGACAGCTGACTAAACAGTTGTACCTGAATGTCAATGACGACTGACTAAACAGTTGTACCTGAATGTCAATGACAGCTGACTAAACAGTTATAACTGAATGTCAATGACAGCTGTCTAAATAGTTATACCTGAATGTCAATGACGACTGACTAAACAGTTGTACCTGAATGTTAATGACGACTGACTAAACAGTTGTACCTGAATGTCAATGACAGCTGAATAAACAGTTGTACCTGAAGGCCAATGACACCTGGATGTTCATGACAACAGAAATAAGATACCATAATTTTCTTATATATAACCATTTTATTTATCACATGCATCAACAAATTAAAGGTAAAACAAAAGAATAATTGTAATAATATATGTTGCATATTAGATAATGTCCATGTCTAAAACTTCACAAAACAGCCAAATTACTATACATTTATTATTATAATAAACAATATACATTAACTTCTATCATTACTGAAAATTGAGAAATAAAATGTTGATATATAAAAGTTATATTTAAATTTTACCTTTTCAGTTAAAAAACTTGTTAATTACCAAGAAAAATCAACAATGGAAAGTTTCAAAACATAATTAGCTGTTTTAAGGACAATATACAACTGAAATGCATACATGCAAACCATTTATGTGTTGGCTTATCTTTAGTAACAATACTTTTGTTTATGGAACTAGATATATATATCATTTTAAATATGAAAAATGTAATTGACCCGAAAGCACAGAACTTTATATCTAACATAAACTAACAAAAACTGTACTTATACAATAAAATGCAATGTAAGGAGAAAATCAAGTAACAAAACTGGGATTTTTAGCCCAAAGGAACCGCTTAATATATGACCCATTTCAAAGTGTAGTCAAAATTTTTTTAAGCCATTTGTGCATTCTCATTGAACTGTGACAAAGTAAAAAAAACAACAAAGCTTTACTTGAATTTCAAATGTACTGTGGCCTTTAAAGGTGATTCATAAGTATACTTTGTTTGAGAAAATATTTGCAGTTTTGACATGCCCTTAAACTAGGACTAACTATATGATAAAATAAACTACAACATTTTTTAGTGATAAACATATAAGATTATGATTTTGTCTTAAATACGCATGAATTACTTCAGTATAAACATTTTATCACATGAAAGGAAGATATAGATCTTGTCATATTACACTTTAGCTTGAATTAATGACAGGTATGCCAAAATAACAATTTAAATACTAGTTATGTTAACTAGCTTATGTAACATTATTTGAATTGTTCACTTTTCATATGAAATGCAATGCCAACAAGACACTTATATACAAGCTCTAGAATGCCTTTAGATTTCCCTTAGAATAACAGCAGGGTACCAGACTCAATCTCTATCATCTGATTGGCTGGTTCCCAGTACTCAGATTGTAATCTACCACTAAAAGAAGACAGAAGAGTACCAATCTAAATCTCTATCATCTGACAGGCTTACTGACTTGAGATTGTATAAACTTTCCCTCTTATTACAGGGGCATTTTACATTCACTGACCAATCAATACAACATAATTTATTAACCATCAAATGGAAGATAAAGACAAATAAAATAAATCAACATATCACAGTTTCTCTCAATTACAATGCAACACCTCTTCATCACAACTACCTTAAGCATTATTTTCATCATCAAAACATCACATCATGATTTTAAATTCAATAAGTTGCTGGACACTGATCATCTGAGGTATATGAAAACTCTTCAATATACAACTTAGGACGAACAAAATGAATTTTATATATAAAATATTTAATGTTGTTCAAATTCTCTTTTTTAATCATATATCATTAATTAGTTATATTTAAAAATAGTCTAACAAAAAGATGCTAGCATTAAAACTTGTTATGTGACATATCCAACATGATCATAAAGTATAAACAAAGCTAGCAAAGAAACATTTCAATGTTCTGATGATAAAAAAACAACATCTAATCAACAGTAATACTTTTTCATTACTCAAGCATTCCTTTGAGCCATAGCACGTCGCATTGGGTGGACTCGGTCGTATTCAGGGTTATCCAAACAAGACTTCAATCGTGACTGGTACTCTCTCTCCGCCTGCATACCCTTTATATATTCATCTTCATCGCGTTCAAATTGAGCACGTCTCAAATTCTGATTATGCTCAATCTGTCCTTGTAGGTCACTTTGGTAGGTCATGTGTTTTTCCTTGTTTTTACGGGCGAGTTCTTCCTCATGTTGGCGATTCTCCTCGATTGTTCTCAACAAATCTTGACGCTCTAACTCTGCTTCCTGTTGACGAGCCATGTTAGCATTCACTAAAAAATGAAAATAAGGAAAATATTCAAAAGCATGTTATTTGCAAAAATAATTTCTTAAAAGTACTCTGATTAATTTTGATTAACATTATTTGAGCTTGTACACTCAATAATTAAGGCTCAATGTTTTGAATTAATATTACATTTCTAGATACACTTAAATTTTAAAATTCATGCACCATGAACATATATTACTTTTAGAACTTACAAATTCATGCACCATGAACATTATTACTTTTAGAACTTATAAATTCATGCACCATGAACATATATTACTTTTAGAACTTATAAATTCATGCACCATGAACATTATTACTTATAGAACTTATAAATTCATGCACCATGAACATATATTACTTATAGAACTTATAAATTCATGCACCATTAACATATATTACTTATAGAACTTATAAATTCATGCACCATGAACATATATTACTTAACATTTGTCAAAGTTGTGGACAGACAACAGTATCAGATTATTTAATCATATTAAATTCTATTTCTTTGTAGTTTTTGGTCAAGTTTGAGATACTTTACTCTACAGATCAGGACAATTTTTTGTAATCAGATTTTTTACTTAATGGACTTCAAACATGTATATTAAAAAGTTGTGAACAACACATCACTTTAAAGTTCCAAATTCAAAAGAAATAGATGTTAATAATATTAAATAGTGTTATAGAAACGAAAATAACTTACATCTATCCCGTACTTGTTCAGCTCTTACAGCAAGAACATCATTCATAAGTTTCTTTCTGGCTTCACGTTCTAGACGCCAAGCTGCAAGACGTTTCTGCCACATACGTTCTACTTCCTGTTGGATGAGAGCTTCAAGCTCGCGCTCACGTATGCGCTCCTCTTCATACATCTGTTTCAAGTGTTCTCTGTACCTACGGTCCTCTTCACGTAGTTCTTTCTGATATTTTAAGAAATGAATATTTATGAAAGCAAATTTTTGATGAGACTAAACAGATACATATATTTTTGTATTATTCTTTCAATAAATACAATGTTGAAGAAAGAAGTATATCCTATAAATATTATGCCATCAAATACTTAAATAAACATATAAATTTAAACACACAACAAGTATTGTACATTATTTCAAAGGACATCCAAAATGAGTTTTTAATAACTTGATAACAATTTTGAAAACAATGAACGACTGTGACTATGTATAATTCAACCAAATAATGCATTAAACATTTTTAATCATTTCTAATATCTGATCAGGTTTTACAGTTCATAAGTAAATATTATCTGATGTAAATTCACAGTTTTTCCAATTATTTTATCTTTTTAATACAACTCGGGGGAAAAAAAGACTTGCCAATACACTCAAGTATTATTAAAGGCTAACCTGCATGTCTTGACAGTTCTTATTTCATAGCAAATCTTTTATAAACACGCCTTTAAGCCTGAGATAAGGAGTTGAATATGCCACATACCTTTCTCTGCAATTGTTCCATGGCCTCGTTCCTGGACTCTTCCAGTAATTGTTCCAACATCTTGAGGTCAAATGCCAGCTCCTCCTGTTCTTCTTTTGCCTTCTTCTTCATCTTCAACTACAACAATGTGACAAATATCATTTATTAGCACGGTAAGATCAAGCATCTAAAAGGTATATTTCATAGTTTGTGGAGTTATTTTTGACTGTTAATGTAATGCATATGAGATATTTTTAATCTTACTGAATATCACATCAAAGTACTTTAATAACTTGCAAGAATGAGATTTTCAAATTTTTGCAAATATCGGTTGCTGACTTACTAAGGAACCTACATTTTTGTACTTTTGGAGTTAGAATGTTTTAATAAGGATTTGACTTAATAATCCCTGTTTATACAGAATCCACAAGCCTTAATAGAGACACATTTTGCAAAAACTTGTTTGAGAAATAACCATAAAGCATGAAATCCACAGATATTAACAGATAAAACTTTATACCAATCAGGACATGCACTTTATATATAAGTGATTCACTGTTTCATTTCTACAAGCATTATATAATATCCTGTCTGTAATAATCTACCCATCTAGTGGCATCTTTTAAACATATAATAGACTGCTAACCTTCTGCAAGCATACTAATAATTGCTCAAATGAAAATACGATATCCTGGAGGGGGTTCAAACCCACAATCAGCAAGAGATAATGTCTTTACCACAATCTGAATGTATTGAAACAACAATTGCGTATATAATAATACTCATAAAGTGTGTCTGTTTATTTGAAATCTAATTACCCCTCCTTAACCACACAGTTTTCAAAATAAAATATTCTCTACCTGAAGTGACATGTCTAACATTTCTCTGGTTCGTCGTTGGCTTCTTATCTTCTCCTCATATTTGCGCTTTTCTTCAGCTGCTCTCAGTGCATTCTGCTCCCTCTGAATATAATAAACATTTATAACTAATGAGAGAGCTTAAAACAATGCCTAAAGCTTGAGCTCAACATTGTGCTGGCAAGTAAACTAAACTTGAAAATATTACTATTGTGTGCCATTTCCTAGCGGCTCGGTTGATATTTACAAATAACCATTAGGGCCATATAACCTGTCAAAAATCTTTATGCTTACTTCATTCTGATTCATCTTTTTTTCATTTTGATGCATTATCAGCAATATTTTGCATTATTATTTGTCTAAAGTTTTATTACTGTTTCTACTTAGCATTTCTTTTATGCACCAAACATACTCTAAGCTAAACAGAGTTGCTTCATAGCTTCAGATAATGGATCTTTATTTTCCATACATTTTTCAGTAAAAAACTTAAATATTTGAATGTGGTTCTAAAAACATATCCCTTCAAATCATTCTAAACCATATACATGAATGTAATATAAAAGTGCACTGAAAATGTATTATATCTGATATATATGACTATAGTTAGACTGCTTTAGGCTATTAATACAATAGATTAACTAACCAAAAGTACAGCCTCTTCCTCTTTCAATCTTCGTTCCTCATCTTTCATAGCCTCGAGGGCAGCCATCTGTTTTCTAAGTACTGCAAGCACCTCAGCATTACGTTGATGAGCAGCTTTAGCATCTCGTTCTTCTCTAGCAGCCTTTGCCATCATGTCTTCTTCCCAGAGACGAGCATACATTTGCTCTTCTTGTTTTCGCTCATCTTCAATTTCTTCCTTAATACGAATTTGTTCTAGACGTTCAACACACACCTCATCCTGTTGTCTTTTTGATAGTGTAGATCTCAGTTCTTCACACTGGTTTCTAAAATAAATAAAACAATATGCTATAACAACCATATTTTAAAATATGCTCTTGTTTTATACCAACTACATGAAATCTTGAGTTTAAGAATTAATAAAAGAAAAATGATATATGTAAAGAAAAAAATAAAGAAAAGATTCTCAATTTAAAGCTATGTTGAAAATTCAAAGATGAAATTTTGTAACCAACTTTCAACCATCTTAAACATCATAACGTCATCTTCAATTAATAATACCTGAACTGTTGATCATATTTCTCTTGGACAAACATCAATCTCTCTTGTTCTCTCTTTTCTTTTAAAGCACGAGCCCTGTCCCTCATTTTAGCTTGCCTCTCAATTGTTGTCTCTTCTTTTTCTTCCATTTCCTGTAAATACTGTGCCTCCTCTTGCCTTAAAAGGTCCCGCAATCTAAAAAACACCATGATTCTTTGGCATTCTGTTTCCAATATATACTAAACTATTAGCCCTTAGTTCAATATACATGTGCATATATACATCTATAGTGGTTCTCATATGATAAAAAGTGCTTTGATATTTGGCTAAATTTAACTAAAATAAGTTCTTTTTATCAAAAAATATCCCTTTGATAACTTAAACAGCCTATTAAAGTTTCAATATATCTTGTAGACTTTATATAGATATGAATATAACATTTTATATGTTCCACATTTAAAACAAATTCAAACAACATTAAGGAAGTTTCTTAAGAAAATACAGTTATGTATGATACAGTTTTACTTACAATATACTTTTTACAAATACTTTTTCTACTGAATTCATTAAATATAAATCAGATTTATGATAGAGGTGAATTCCTTTCAACCTTTTCATTCTGCTAATTTTATTGTTACCCTGCTTGACTTAAATATTCTATCAAATGCCTTTCAGTCTCAAATTGAATATAACTTATTCATCTTCACAATCATTACCTTTCTCTCCTATCTTCAATTGTAAACTGATTTGTTTGCATCATAGTTTCTACTTTTCTTTTACAAGTGTTTATTTTGTATTTTCTGTCTGTCCATCTTTCCCACTCATTTTTTAGGTCATTCAGTCCTATATACTGAGTATTTTTCTGATGCTCTGCTAACATGTCTTCTTTTTTCCTTCGTTCCAGGATGAGATGCTCTGGGGGACGCTTGTTTGGTGGGCGTGCCAACTGAAAATCAGTAATAATAATAACCTGGTAAACAGTGATTTTTGTTAGCCAAACTTCAGAAAAGTTGAATATTTGGGCAAGAAATGGTTCGTAAATTAAATCTTTTTCATCATGATTTATGAAAAACTTTTTCAGGGGCATTCTATTATGATAGTAATCTGTCCTTGTCTATCATGTTTGATGGCAAAACAATGAAGTGCATTGAAAATTCTGTATCAAGCTATATAAAACTTAGAAGTCAAATGCATCTATAAAACACTAGATCTATCATTTGTATAACAGAATGCTACTAATGCATTAAGAACTGATGAAAATGTTTGAAAACTGGAAAGCATTTAACCACTTGTACATGTACTGGTATAGTACTCCCCGCGGGTACCGCGTCATTGTCCATTCCGATGTAATCAGAAAATGTGTTTCTTTACACATTGAATGCCACCAAATACTGTTTCCACCATTACAGTGAAAGATGGAGTGCTGCTTTTTGTGAATTTGGATAGAAATTGTTAGAATTTTTTTCATTTCAAATAAATTCTGTCATTGATAGGAAAATCCAAAGCTGCCTATGTGTGCTGAAAAAACTTCTTTATTTTACCCCATATTTAACGGTTAAACTTATAATTTCATGTTCTGACAAGTGAAGGCGTCTGCTGAAACTGTAGTGACAGCATATTCTATTACAAAAAATTATACTGAAGCCAAAAACGGCCATCAATTAACATACCACGGTACCATAGTGCTCTCCGTATAAGCTCCTATTCTAAACATGGCTAACGGACCATAGATGTTTCTAATTAAAATCATTGAGTTATTCTATGAATGACATGTGTATTTTAAAGTCAAGATGCGACAGCTAAACACAATTCAATAAAATAGTAAATATAAGTTCTATTTATTTGTAAAATTTGCTGGAAATAATAAGAACAGTGGTACCATAGGGGACCATCCTACATGTATTTCTGTTTGTTTGACAGCTTATTTGTGTAAATGTATGTAAACAAACACATTAGAAATTAAACTGATTTAGGCAAGCGAGATTTTGACCCAGAATAAACATACCTCAGAATCTTGCTCTGACACTTCAATATTTTTTTACTACTGTAATCTGCCATCAGCAGCCATATGATATGTAAATATATAGCTCACTTAGTCACTAAATTTCTAAGTGTCAACCACTGGAGTTTGCATATATTACATCATATTTAATAAAAACATCACATTTGGTTTACATGTTACTGGTCAAGATCTATCGGAAAAGTGCGTTTATAGAGTAAAAACAACTTACAATTGCAACTGAACTTGGCGTAGGACCAGTGAATTCCCTGGTCCTACGATGCCGCTGTGAGACCATCATATTTGCAAGTTTATTGCTGAGAATTATCAAAAGAAGATCTATACGTTAATGTCTGCAAACACTATATGTCTTTCATCAGTTCCTTTAAACTGCCAAACAAACAAAAGAAAAAGTGTAGCGACTTCCCCCGTCCAAGTTTATTTGTATGTATCAAAGGAAGTGACGTCATGTAACCAGGAAATGGCTGGATATATAAACTATTGACGACTTATTTTGTGGTAACAGATAATGTGTTAGTCGGCCATCAACCAACTTAACAAAATGATGTCAAATACTATCTTATTACTTATGATTTTTGTGTATGAGTTCCAGCCGTCTCAACTACCAGTGCATTAGTACATTTATATATCTGAGCTGGAAAGATTGATTATAAATATGTGTCTTCCCAGATTTTTACTTAGGCCTAGGCCTAATTTAAATCCATTTTAACCAAATATATCAATGACTTAAGGAAAATTTATAAAGACAAATTCATTACTCATTTGAATTTGTCTGCTTTAAGGGATATTTAACAGGTTGACTCAAAGAATGATTATTTTTAATTAAAAATGGGCGCGCCACATTTCCTCTTGTTATATAGCCATAGTCCCTTATCATATATTTCGTAAGCTTTTATTTCTGTAAAATTATATCAGTAATAAAATTCGGTTTAAGTACATGTATATGTGTTTCATATAATTAGTGAAGCATGGAATTTGGAATAATAGCGCGTGATATTAAGCTGTATGTAGCGTAATTAATGTAAAATATTTCCTCGTTTGAAGTTATACCTGATCATGTTCTGTCGCCATCACCTATAAGGATGAATTTGTCACATACATGGTTTAAAGAATGCAGACGGTATTAAATCAATCAGACTATGACTCCGCGTGATTGTTTCATAGGAAAGCTTTTAAATGAATGAAAGAAAAGCTGCAATATTTAAATTAGACCATTAAATAAAAATGATTGATACATTGTAGCGCTTTAAAATAATGATTAATCACGTGTATTATTTCATGACACAAGGGTGAAAAAATAACCACGTCAGAATATGATCGATATGTTTATTAATTTTAAGACAGTCCTAATTAAACATGATTTATATGTGGTAACAATATGCTGTCTCCTTATATTTCCGACATCTTTGCCCAACGTAAATATAGGTTCATTACGAGCTGATTATGCAGTCCTTTTAGTGGACACATATGCGTAAGTGTCAAACATTTTTAAAAAGGACTCCACTGTGGTATTTTTTTGCTGTTGTTTTTTTAAATGAAGGAACTGGATTCATTCATTCATTCATTCATTCATTCATTCATTCATTCATTCATTCATTCATTCATTCATTCATTCATTCATTCATTCATTAAATCTATTTTAATTTACTTTTATTTTGAGATTTGCGTTCTATTCGTCTGGACAGTATTAACTTGTGTGCAAAGTTTCGGACCATCTGCTTACTCAATTTTTCCTCAGTAATCATTTAATCATTGTGCAAAATTACCACAGTAAAAGTTAAGACAAGAGTACTCGAGCTGAGAATCGCACAGAAATCGATTTTCAATTTAACTCTGAGTATATTTCTCTTTAATAAAATTTATTATCTTATGCATTTTTGTGTGTTTTTGTTGTTGTTTTTTTTTGTTGTTGTTTTGTGTGTGTGTGTGTGCGTGCGTGCGTGCGTGCGTGCGTGCGCGCGCGCGCGTGTGTGTGTTTTTTTTTCTCTCGTTTTAAGTGTCCGAACAAATATATGCAAGAAGTACAAGAATTGGCGACCCACAATTATTCAATAAGAAGTGACTTTACAAATGAGCAGTTTTATAAATGGCCATATATCTTGTCAAAAATATTTATAACTAATAATTTACTCCTCTTTTTTCACTTTAGCCACTCCATGAAAATGCTATTGGTTTTTTGTGTCGCCTCTACGGAAGAGTAGCGACATATAGGGATCCCTTCTCCATCGTCTGTCTGTCCGTCTGTCACAAAACTTGTCCGGACTACTCCTCATAAATTACTGGTGCAATTTCATTCAAACTTTACAGGAATGATCAGTACCAAGTCTAATTGTGCATGCCGTCCGCATTTTCCGGTTCAATGATTTTTGTCCGAGTTATGGGCCTTTAATAATTTTTATTTTTAAAGTTTGTCCGCACTACACCTATGCACTTTTAATGAAATTTTACAGGATTGAACTGTAGCTCAAGTCCTTGCGCATATTGCACGGGTTTTCCGGTTGAATGATTTTTGGCCGAGTTATGGCCCTTTTAAAAAAAGGTGTTTTTCTGTGTGTTGCCAGATGCACAAAAGCTTGTCCGGACTAGTTCTCAAAAACTACTGGTGCAATTTCATTCAAACTTTAAAGTAATGATCAGTCCCAAGTCTAGTTGTGCATATCATCGACTTTTATGGTTAAATGAATTTTGTCAGAGTTATGGCCCTTTAATTATTTATATTTTTTTAAAGTTTGTCCGGACTACTTCTCAAATACCACTAATGCAATTCCAACGAAACTTTACAGGATTGATTGGTAGGTCAAGCACTTGTGCATATTACACGGGTTTTCCGCTTGAACGATTTAAGCCTAGTTATGTCCCTTGAAATAATAAAATTTGTTCGGACTACTCCTCATATACCATTAATGCAATGTCAATGAAACTTAACAGGATTAATTGGTAGGTTAAGTACTTGTGCATAATACACAAGTCTTTCGCTTGAATGATTTTTGGCTGTGTTATTGCCATTGAATAAAAAATGTGTTTTTTGTGTTGCTAGCTACACAGAAGTTTGTCTGGACTACTCCTCAGAAACTGCTCGTGCAATTTCATTAAAAAATTTAGGGGAATAATCAATACCATGTCTAGTTGTGCATCACATCAACATTTTTCGGTTCATTGATTTTTGTTGTCAGGGTTTTTCCCTTTCATGATTTTAATTTGGAAATTTGTCCGGACTACTCCTGTTATATAACTAATGCAATTTCAATGGAACTTTACAGGATTGATCGATATTTCATTTTGTTGTGTTTTAGGTTGAATGATTTTTTGCCAAGTTATGGCTATCATTAGGGACACATGTCATCACTGATGGCCCTTGTTATATTACATCATTTACTTTATTCAAATATAACTTTATGATTTTTGACAGTGTTAGTGTATCAAAATAATTTAATTCCACTTGTTCAGTTAATTCAGTGGTGAACATACCTTCACTCAGTTTATACCAAACAACATAATTTTTGACTCTTTTTCTCTCTAGTGTAAGTTACAAGATGTTTGAGGTGAAGTGGGAGATGTTACAGTTATCTCTCAAACATAGCCTTCTATTTTCATAAAGTTTCATTGATTGCTTTAGAGAGACCACACTCTATAAATTTCTAGTATCTTTAATTAAAACATGAACATTTAACTCAGGTTGTTGTTCCTGAGAATTCCTCTCCACCTATTGACTTTAGGAGACTGGCCCCTATCTGGTGCAACAACTGCATTGAGACAATTGTGACTTGAAGAAGTCCTCTCACTTGTAGGGTAAAAAGGGAGAGACAAAAGAAAAGCTATGAAAAAGGGGAGACAAATGAAGTCAAAAATTGTCAAAAAATTGATGGATGGATTTTTTGATCCAGAAGAATTAGCAATTTAATAGAAGAACAGCTGCATTCAAGGAAAATGCAATATTTGAGTCAATAAAATGTAAGTTCTACATTTTTTTAATTTGATGATTTTTTATGACTGTAATTACCTTTAGATTTACTTTATTAGTTGAACTTAGGTTTGAATGTGATTTTCTATCAGGCTTGTGTATGTACATTTAAGTATTGAAATTGGTTTTAATTTCCTTTTTTTTCCCCATACTTTAAAGTAAATCAAACAAAAAGGCTAGAGAATATTTAAATATTCATTAAATCATTTTAATGAGAATTGCTAATGTTTTTTTTCATTTCACTAGTAATTTTAAGTACAGAAACATTTAAGAGTTATTGCAGATTATGTTATCATAATTATTCTAACTACATAAAAGTTATTAATTCCTTTCTCTTCAGTGTATGCTATCCACTGTCTCCAAATGAACACAACAACATTTGAGCCGCGTCATGACAAAACCAACATAACGAGGGTTCAAAGGTAAAAGGTAATAACTGCCATTTTCAAGATTTCGAGAAAAACGCAAAAAACATATTTTTTTAATACAACTTTATTTTCCGTAATATTGTTATAACAATTTTGATTCTCCCATATTTGTTGACTACATTAGATCATATTTTGTTTAGTTTACATTGCTTGGTGCTGATAAAACACTGTAATTATAGTTTGTTTTAAAGTTCTAAGATCAAAATAATATCATTTTACAGAAGTAAAAGGTAATAAATGTACTTAGATCCTGTCAAGACTACAAGTTTGAGAGGTAAAAGGTCATAACTGCACTTACGACCTTTTCCTTCTGCAGGTTTAGCAATAAAAGTTAGAGATAAACTGTGGTAAAATGTTATAAGTGCAGTTATAGCCTTGTTCCTCTGAAAAATTTAGATGTTGCAGTAATTGTTACTGTTGCAAATTTATCAGTTATGTCCTTACTTTGAAGAACCTTACGTAATGTAATTAACACAATGCACATTAATACTCGTACACAAAATTAACACTTTTCATTCATAGAAATATGAAATATGTACCTGCTCAATATTTAGATTCTACAGAAATAAATTAATAACTAAAAAGTTTACGAAAATACGCACTAAAATCTAAGTTTACAAATTTCATTTATTTTGAATGTTCTCTGGTATATAATCGAACTGAAGTCAAACAGACCCCAGACATCAGCAATTAAGGATATTAGTGACCCATATCATAGATAAAGATTACTGTTTCATGTCACAAAAATGTGAATGTTTGTCATTAATTATTCTATGACCTCCACTCATCTTCTTCACTCTCACTAACAGAAGGCACTGAAAGTTTGTCTTTTATAGATTTGCTGCATGGCAATGACTCATAGTATGATTCGCACTCCTTCGGAATTGTTCCAGAGGCAACAAGTGACATCAAATCAGCTTTTGCAACAGATATTGGAAGCTTCTCTGTATAAGCCTTTCGTGGAGCCTTAAGAGACTTTTCTTTGCTTCTGTTCTTCTTCTGCATTAACCTAACTGCCTTGAACTCACTAACCACAAAACCATAGCTCACAACAATACTGTAT